AATCTTCGCGATAGGTCGAATAATAAACTGGCATTTGTTAATACACCTTGTTAATTAGTGAAAATAAACGTATAGTTCCAATTAGAAAGTTGCTGAGCGTCATTGCAAACGACTAAATAATGGAATTTTAGACAGAATCGAAGGGAAGCGCGGGTTAAAGTTACCCCTCCTGCAACGGGCAGTTGGTCACTTTAGCGCGTTCCACCGCGATTCACACATGCTTGAAGTCTTCCGAATATTTACTAATTTAGTGGTTTTCAATGATGCTCGGCAAGTTTCTTATTAGAACAATTGGTTTATTTTCACTAATTAAAACGCAGATTAACAATTTTTTTTGTAATTATTAGATTAATTGTGACGTTTAGCCCCCTCGCATCAGTGTACCTTTCACGTTGCTTTTTCACAGCGGAGCTGTTAAGGGCTAGTTTCCTCACGATCGTGTCCCCCGCAAAGAAAGGAAGACAGCAAACTCTGGACACCTACCGACATCTATGTGCGGCGGCGGGAAGCCATGTATCTGGTTGCCGCCGTCGCTCATAGATGGCGGCAGCCTTTTCACTTTGGCTTGCCGACTTGGGGCCGGCCATTACTTTCCATTGTACAGCTCCGCTAGTGTTCCTTCTTCACCAGTGTGGAAAGGCTGAAAGTTTTTACAGCGGAGCTGTTAAAGGGCAGCTCCGCCGTCAATTTGAGCGTTTTTATCAAAACATATTTTCGGAAAGGGTACTAAAAATTTAGCCTATAGCAGCGGTTAAATCATGAAAAAACTGTTTACATAATTTATAATCGTTAAAATACGCTGAAACCGATACCGAAACTAACTTGCCACTCGACTGGTCCGCCATTTTGACGTGACGTCACATATGGTATAAACACTCGCACGTGTGCAGTTTGAGCCTGGCCAGCCTGGCAGCAGGTCACTGTTTTGTGTTCGTGCCGCGGATAAAAATGGACTCATCAGGCTCGTCTGAATCGAGCAACGATGAGGATATGCTGCTAGATGTCGAGGACGATGACGATAACCCGTTCTCATACGATCCGCCGGCATCGCCTCCGAGGAAACCGCCAGCGGCGGCTGCATTCGTGATCCGCCACCATGTGGACCCAGATGCCACTTCCGAAGCGGAATGGTAAGGCAGCTTTTGTTACTAGCACGCCAAGAAAAACTGATCGACGTTATGCCTTTTAATTGGAGGCACTTTTTGTTATATCTTGGGGTCTGACAATAGACGGTTTTAGTAGACCGTGTTTTCTGTTTCTGTTTCTTCGTTCTGTTTCTTCGACTTTTATGTTTTTCTACCCCAGTCTCAGGTATATTCAACATGGTTAACATCCACCAGCTCGCCTGCACCCTTACTATTGTATCTATGCCCTTTAAGGGCTAGGTTCCCCAGGACACACAAATGTCGAGACAACACTGGTTGCCGCCGTCACTCATAGATGGCGGTAGCTTTCCAGAGTGTTGTTCGCCGGATGTCTGCTTGCCGCCATCGCTAATAGGTCGCGGCACCCTTTCCAGCCTTTCCACTCTGGCTTGCTGACTTGCGGATGCCCATTACTTCATTCCCACCATACTACAGCTCCGCTGGTATGTCTTCTTCACCAGAGTGGAAAGGCTGAAAGTTTTTAATAACATATATGTTTAAATTAAAATAAGACACCCTGAGAGAGAGAGAGAAAGAGAGTCCTTATTTCGCCACAAAAGGTAAAATTGTGACGAGAGGGCTGGAAAAAAGAAGCTGCCAGATGGCAGCTTGAAGTGTTCCAAACTGCCCGAAACTTGATCCAAGCAGTACGCAAAAAACATATGGATAAACCTATTTTACAGACACGGGCACACAAACAGTTAGTTATATATGTATATAAAATTTCATTCATGTGGGTTAAATATAGCCGCGTGAATTAAAAGATGCTATAGTATAAAGAGAAAAAAGGATAACACAAACCTACAAAAAATGAATTAAAAAAAGAAGTGTCTCAAACCGAAAAACATAACGTTTCGGTTACGGTTACCGTTTCCTGTGATATGGGTTTCGTTACAAGTTTTTGCGGTTTTAATTTTTACGGTTTCGGTTACCGGTTTCACGTTCTAAAAAAAAAAAAAAACTTTATTTTTTCGGTTTCTCCAATAATATTGTTTATTGAAATGCTAGACAGCTGTTTTAACATAAACGGTTTAAATTACTCCCAGATATCCAGTAGCGGAACCAGGGTGTAAAATAGACAGGTGGGGAAACGAGAGCCAAATGAGCGACCGGATTGTGTCCCCCTCGGTTTTCTCTTTTTCTGTGGCGCCATCTATGTGGAGCACCGCGAACTCTCACTTCGGGTGGGCGACCCGTGGCGACCGGCTAAACTGACGGAGATGGTTTCTCGTGGGTTTTCAATGGAGGACTGTCGTGCTCTCGTTTTATTTTGCGCACTCTCCCATAAAATTCCATGCGAATCCAATTCCGATTTTTTTCCTCTCGCCGCAGCGCCATCTGTAGCAAATCGGGGGTACCCGCAAGCAGACGAGTACACAATCCGGTCACGGCGCGGCGGTAGACTTCTATGGGCCGTTTCCCCACCTGTCTATCTTACACCCTGAGCGGAACATTCACAATATCAAGAACTCAAAAACGTCTTAGTACTTCTGATTGGTCAAAAGTTGCACACGTTTCTAGCTTTGCCTCCAACACTTGTTTACTACATATATTTGCATTATATAGCTCGATACCCAAGCATACATGTAACTTACACTACTGAGGGGTCCTCAAAGTCTATATAACAATAATAAAAAAAATAAACAACGCTACTTTGTTGTTCGGCGGTGTTTGTAAACAAAACTCAGGTTCCCACTGGGTGCTGGAAGAACAATTCGCACCTTCTCGTGGCTATCGTTTGTTGCAACCTAAGATATACAGAAGAGGCTGGGCCCACACTGAAAGATCGAGCAGAACTACAACCCTCCTCTTGTAAAATAGTGCTAAGTATAATAAAGTAATAAAATTGAGAGCTCGGCTAGTTTGTGAAAGTCAAACACGATGTAAATGCAATACCACAAAACAAGGAGAGGAACGAACAACATAGAAAGCTGTAAAAATATGTCCTCTGCTGTTTGTTCCTTTCCCTAGTTTTCGTTGTTGTGCGCTGTTACACCTACGTCATGTTTGTTATTTCAAAGCAAATGCACGTTTCTCGCTGTCCGATTCTGTGACGCTAAAAAAAGTGTGCATTTATATAATAGCGCCATTTTTCTCTGGGGTTTGGAGGCGGAACTTCCAAACCCCGGAGAAAACCTTTTTTTTTTTTTCGGTTAATACCGGGTAGTATCGGTTACCGGTAAATAATCTACGGTTACAGTTACGGTTTTTATAAATTTGAAATAACGGCTTCGTTCCGGTTCCGGTTACTGAAAAAATTTCGTTCCAATAAACGGTTTTCAGTTTTTGTTAAGGTCACGGTTTGAGTCCCTCGTAAAAACCACAACAGAAGAGACTGCTATGTAATATGGAAAATAGTATGAAACGAATATGCGAAAAATATTCACTTAAAAACCACAATAGAAGGGACTACGATGTAAAATAGAAAAGTCTATAAAACTATTCTGCATAAAATGGAATTAAAACCACAAAATAGAGAAACTACAGTGCAAAAAAAAAAAAAAAATGTGTATAACAAGAACCTAAAAAAAAGAATAAAAACCCCAATAGTAGACTATAGAAATAATAGCATAAATCGCGAGAAAGGTAGACATGATAAAATACTTGATAGTATGATAGCATAAATACATGAGAAAAGACATGATAAAAAAAGGTGGCCGCGCAGAAATCACTTAGTTGTGTTTAGAAATTTGGCTTTGTCCATCATCCCCCTTGTTACCCTTCTCCGGGGTTTATTATCGTTATTCTTGTCCAGTTCGCTTTCACTTTTGCGTTAGTTGCGTTATCATCGTGATTTTTTTCTAGCCTGTTCCGAGGGGACCTTTCGTGGGGGCTGCTTTCGCGATCCGCCGACATGTGGACACAAATGCCGCTACGAAGCAGAATTGCACGGAATGTTTTATTTGCTAGCAAGGTGTGAACTCTTTTCTAGCACGACGCGACGGACTACTCAGACCCACTTCCATCGCAGAGACTTCCCGGTCGGAAACCAATGCGGAGCGAAAGTTCGTCTGCTTCTTTTGCAGGGATTACGACATGGAGGTAGGAAGATTCAGGAGGTGACATGGACGCCACCAGACTTGTAGCCGGAAGTACCACTGCACCGGAAGTGTGGAGGAACTACCTCGGTGGGAGGGACACGCTCCCAACCATGACCAAAACCAAGAGAAGCTATTGGACGAAAAGGAGAGCTGACTCAACAGCTGTTTTGGTCACCTTCAGTGTCCCACTACACTTCTGGCCTCACCTCTGGTGGCGTCATGTCGCCTCCTGAAGTTTCCTACCTCCATGGGTTGTGGTGACGTCAGAACGCCGAGCTCTGATTGAAGGATAGTAGGCAGACCTCAATCAGAGCCAATCATAGCTCGACGTTCTGACGTCACCACAACCCTTGCAAAAGAAGCAGGCGAGCTTGCGCTGCACCAGCCGGGGACGCGTTCCAGGCACCATAATCTCACTACAACCAACTGCAACGCGCAACGCCATGGAGAAGGGAGCGTCGTCTGCTCTCGAATACAACATTTGACGTCACGAGTACCCTTGCTCGCTGTTGCCAGCGGAGCGGCAGGAGGTGATTCGGAGGTGTACGCGTAAACTTCGAAATTAATTTTCTCGAAACAAAATGAATCGTTTGATAAAATATTTCGTAAACGTTGTCACGCGTGGATACATGGTGAAAATTTTATCAACATCAATGACCATTAATATCAATAAAAGACTGCAGCGACAGCACGACATCGCGGCTTTGAAACGTTCTTCCTTTCTTGTCGGAGACTGATTAATTTATCGGGATGCAAGCAGCAGTCTAAGCACACTGTGCGAGTGGCTTGCCTTAAGTATTACTAGAAAAAATCCAATCCAATCCATACATTGCTAATACATCTGTAAACAAAGGTTGTGCCAGTCGTACTGGTCGTACTCTAGCCGCTTTTTTTTAGTTTAGAACTGTCGGATTTGCTTAAAAACATGCCCGACATCTCTGCTTGCAAATTAGACTAAGAAAGCTCCCTAAGGATTAACCATTCAGTGAATAACTGATCGCGATTTACCGTGCTCAACATGTCGGCATACGACACCGTCCGAAGAGGAAAGCTCGTCTTCAAAGGGGAAAAGAAAAGGTGCTCACTTGTGGCCTTTACGCTGCGCTGATCTGGATCCGATTTGATGCGAATATATGTGATATCGCCCGTCATACCTTCAATCGCCAATTTACGGACATCCCTCGAATGAGGTTTCGTTAATGTTAGAAACGGTACAGTACATCCTTATGAAACAGTTCAATGCAAGCGAAGCAAGAAATACAGTCAGCTGAGGATTATTTGTGCTATTTAACTTGTTAGCTTAATTTGTCAACGAAATGCTCTGCGAATCTACGAAACATCGTTCGATCCTAACTTGCCCAAACGCCAACCAAATAGATGCAACATCCCTCACCATCTAACATAGTTCTGAACTGTCGTGCAGTGTAAGCACTAAATATAGTTTAAAAAAAAAATGTTTTAGTGTAGCCATTATTAACATTAAGTGAGCTCGTCCTGCTATTCTAAACCTTCAACAGACCAAAGTGAGGAAAACTAGCACCGACCACGCAAAGCTAAGCGCCCACACACACACTTTCCCCAGGAAACGGAAGAGTAAGAGCAAATCTGCAGACGGTTCCAGCAGCAGCGAGCAGAAATCTGGAAATGAGGACACCATCAACCACGGTAATGAAAGGATATTCCTGTAGTGGTAACCTGGGGCAGCCTACAAGCGGGTCACTTTTTCTAGGAGGCTGGTGGGAAGCGAAGGTCATCGACGAATTCACCGGCCCAATCGCCCTCGAGTTCTCTCCGCACTGCTACGTCTCTTCGCTGGACAATGGGCTGTTTGTGCTCGGCGGTCCGCATCCCCCCGGTGAGGAACGCTTTCAACGGGGTTTCAAGAGAACTGTACTCGGCGTCGACCATTTTGTGGCAAGTCATTGAGGCCGGCGTCGTTTCTGGAGGGCTCCAACTCTGTCAAAGCGCGTTTGCACGAAAACATGAGCAAACGAGACAAAGGGACGTTCTCTTGCGGCAGCGTAGGGCCGGTGCATCGTGGATGCCGCCACGCCAGCCTCGAGAGCACGGTGCAAAATAATCGACGCCGAATATAGAGCCACGGATAAGTTAAGCTTCATAGTCACGGTCATTATGGTGCCTAAACTCGCTGTTGCCCCAGTCTGCTGGTTCATCCGAAATCGCAGGAAACAGTTTCTTCGTCCTCCAGAAATCCTAAAACTGTTTGTAACAAAGTGAAACAATATCGCCTGGGCTTCTGAACACCTTATGCAAGGCTTGGGGAGTAAAATTTTCCAATTGTAACAATCGCCAATTGTGCCCGTCCCACGCTAGGAACCAAAAAAATGGTCCCTACAACATAACTGGGTAATTGAGTGCCAATACTTTAAGCTTAGCCTATTTAGCGACTTTAATCGACTACCCCTCTCCCTTCCTTTCCATACACACATGCACACACTCCAGAACTAGTGGTGTAAAAAGTATAATCAGTGGCAAGTGTGGTGCAATTGAATGTATTAATTTCCAGATGGTACATATGTCATATCATTCAACATTCTTGTCGCACACAGAGGCTTATAATGGGGCTGTCCAATGCTACACGAAAACAGCAAGAGTTTTGCTGCATTTTTGTTTTTTTTTAGCTTCGTAACAATGGTTTCGCAGAGCCTTTCAGAATCTTGATTGGGTGTGCGACTTGGCATTGTTGTTGGCTGATATCTTACTCCACCCCAATGACTGGAACATAAAATTACAAAGGAAAGAGAGACCCCTTGTGGTATGCGCCAAGACGCAAACGTTTTCGAGCTGAAGTGTGATGGGGGGGGGTCTCCCCCAACACCAGGAACCTCTATCAACAAAAAATCTATACAATTTTCCTTCATGGGCAGTATATACCTTGCAATCTGAGCTGCAGGGTCGGAGCTGGGTTCCCCAGTGTTGGGAAATACTCAAACGACATTCACATTTTCAAAATTTTGCTCAAGACAGACCTCAGCCAAGTACTGGAGGCTTACGAGACAACTTTGCTTATCAGCCGATCCCCAAACAGATAATCGGTTGCAGGATGCATGTCCAGCGAACGACTTCGTTAAGTTTTAGTCTGGCTTTCCGGAATAATTTTTTCAAATCTATGAAAGCTTGCAGCTGCTTTGATTGCAGTGTTCCTTATATGTACATCGGCGAAGATATTCTTTTCTTTTTAGAGCGCAGCTCTTAGGGGCCCGTTTCCGGCTTGAGCGGCGTCGCCGTCGGCGTCGGCGTAACCGCGCGGTGCATCATGGGAAATGTCCCATAATGCACCGCGCGAGCCCCCCACCAAGGTCACGTGACCTCGTGGGGGGTCACGTGACCCCCCGAAGTCACGTGGCCCCCTCCTCGAGGTCACGTGACCCCCGCCGATGTCGCGTGACCCCCGATGACGTCATCGTCACTGATGACGTCACCGGCATCCACATCGTCATCATCACTGATGACGTCACCGGCATCCACATCGTCATCGTCATCATCACTGATGACGTCACCGGCATCCACATCGTCATCACTGATGACGTCACCGGCATCCGCATCGTCATCATCACTGATGACGTCACCGGCATCCACATCGTCATCATCACTGATGACGTCACCGGCATCCACATCGTCATCATCACTGATGACGTCACCGGCATCCGCATCGTCATCATCACTGATGACGTCACCGGCATCCACATCGTCATCATCACTGATGACGTCACCGGCATCCACATCGTCATCATCACTGATGACGTCACCGGCATCCACATCGTCATCATCACTGATGACGTCACCGACATCCGCATTGTCATCGTCATCATCACTGATGACGTCATCAGTGACGTCACTGATGTCGTCACCGGCATCCGCATCGTCATCATCACTGATGACGTCATCAGCGACGTCACTGATGACGTCACCGACATTCGCATCGTCATCGTCATCATCACTGGTGAAGTCATCAGTGACGTCACTAATGACGTCATCGGTACCCGCATCGTCATCGTCACTGATGACGTCATCAGTGACGTCAGTGATGACATCATCGGCATTGGGGGTCATGTGACCCCCAAGGTAACGTGACCCCCCCCCTGGTTAGTTTAACCCCCCCCAGTGCCCTTCCCTCCTCCTCCTCAAGAGCTGCGCTCTAATTCGGCGTTACAGGGAGTTGTAAGCGGCTTTCATTTTTTTTTAGAGGGAAACTGTATAAAGTAAGTGTCTGTGAATGACCAGTGTTCACCTCCAAAATTTTTACAGCTCTGTACCTTTAATGTGAATGCTTGTCTTGGCAAGCAATTAGTACTTTTTGTACCAAAAAGTACCAAAACCCCTACTGAGGGGGGGGGGGGAGGGGCAGCATTCTTAAGTTATTTGTGCCTCAATCAAGAAATACATGTATGTCACTTCAAGCTTAGGGAATTTTTTATTTTATTTTTTTAGTTGTTTATCCGTTCTGCTTCATCCTCAATTTGCGACGATTTGGATCGCTGCAATATAAGATTGCAGATTCCTGCTCTAAGGAGAATGACCAGTGCAAATACGTTTAGTAGTCAACTGTCGTGAAACAGCAAGGACTGCTCATACAGAGCCGTCATTATTCACACACCATAAATTTTCATAATCTGAAATCGACATTGATAATGACACCGAAATGCCAACCAGATTCTGGTTTCACACAAGTGTGGGTTTTGTGGACCGTTTCTTGCAGGAGAGGGTCCCTCGCCCGAGGAAATCCTGACGGCCGTCAAGCTTTCCGAAACAAAGATTGCCCTCAAGTCCGGCTACGGAAAGTACCTCTGTGTCCAGCCGGACGGAGCCGTTGTGGGGAGGTCGGATGCCATTGGACCGCTTGAGCACTGGGAACCGGTCTTTCAAGATGTAAGTGACTCGACAGACAGTCAAAAAGAAAAAGAAAAAAACCGAGGCTTGTACTTTTAAGGCTAGTTCACACATTTGCAACTGAGTATGCTCAAACGCATTGCATTTGCTTGTAACCACTTGCAGTGAGACAACGCCCTGCCATCATCTATCGGGCAGCCCTGGAAAAAAAAACAAAAAAACTTCAGTATATAACTGAAATCAAGGTTTTGCAGTATTTGAGAGATCAAACCTACACACTATTCACAAGAAATAGTTGCTTTGTAACATTGTCAGAATTATTTCGAGCCCATGTCAAAAGAATGATGCGCAACATTATAAAAAAAATACACGCAACTTGGAAGCGTTGCCAGGACTGTCTCATAGATGACACCTGCATGTTTTTTCGTCGCAAGCACTTACAAAGGAACACAATGCACTTTGGCACACCGAAACATACTAGATATGTGAACCGGCCTTCATAGCACTTGGGTCCCAAAGATGCTCGTTTGCTTACTCTAAAATCCCGAGGAAGCACCCACTAAAAATTTGGAGACAATCGTGCAAGACTGGGGGATGGCCGCCCTCAATAGGTCAACAATACGTAAAGATAAGTCCGTCGTGCATTTTCCGAAGGTTCCAAAATTGAGGGGTGGACGCTCATTATTGTGGAATGGACAGATGCTCGGTGCTTTACGGTAGTCGGTTCAAAGCGCACAGATTGCTGAGCGAGTTAGTGCAAGAGGTTTCCTACCGTGCTTTGTTACGCTTTCTTCGCATCGTTTCTCACACATAATGTCGGAAGCACGCGGTACATTTTGACAATGCTTACGTTGCAGAGAAGTTGGACTTTGAGATTTCCCAAACGAGGTCAAACTTGCATTTCCTTTTTGCTAAGAATTTGGTGTTAAGTTTGACGGTCCGTAGAACCCAAACGTAGTAGGCTGCGATTGAAGTTTACGCAATATTTGCGGCAACACTTTCTAGTTGAAGATCTTCGCCAAAAAATGCTTTTTTTTAAACATAACGTTTACAAAGTCACCAATCGTGTTGGAACAAGTTGACCGGAAAGTAAGATCAGTCTTCTGGTTTTCAGGGAAAAATGGCCCTGCAAGCAAGCAACAGCTGCTTTCTGACTGTCAGTGACGGCACGGACATTCTGGCTAATGCAGTGACGGCCGGGGACAACGAAATGCTCAAGGTGAGAGCGCAGCGAAGTTTGATGGTGGTGCTTCGCGGCGGCGGCACTCGGCAGTTTTCCTGACGTACCTAAGCCAACAAAAATTCCAGTTTTCTATCGTGTTTTGGATGCTCGTCGATGTATGACGTCGATTCAGCGAGCTCCTTTTTGGTAAAACTTTGAGCTCCTGAAGAAGCCCCCAAGCATCAAAAGGGCAATAATCGTTTGGTCTACGAAGAAGCTGAACTCCACAACTTTTCGCTGCAGGTCCGCTCGATGGCCAAGGCAGAGACCTCGAACGACAAGGGCCTTCCAGAAGAGGAAAAGGGAACTACAAAGGAGTGCGAGCTCAATTACGTGTAAGCCAAGCCGCCAAGTTCCACTTTGCAACGGGTACTACGTCGGCTAAGCACCGTCCTAGAAACTTTCATTTCTCAAATCCGCCAAACTACGTTTGAGGTCTTGTGGCACGAAGGCTACGACGAAAAACAAGTTGCTTTCGTCCGGGGACGAAACATTGATGTTAAAAGTCCAAGTAACCAAAGCGAAAATAAATAGTTTCACGGTTTCTTTGGGGGGAGCGCTTCTCACTAAATTTAACAGGGAATCGGTGCCGCGCTAAATTTATAGAAGTTAGTGTTGGGTGGCCTCGCGTGACGGCAAAATTTTCCCGCTCGAGATGTTTGTTCTCTCGTCTTGCCTATCGTTTCGCCCAATTTCCTTGTCTGGTGCACTTCTCTCGCAAGGGACCGCTTTCCGCGAGCAAAAGGTGCGGCAGGACTGCCCCCTCATTCGCAGTTCTCTCATTGGCCGTATTTCAGGAAGAAGTTCCAGAGTTTCCAGGACCGAAAACTGCGCATCAGCCAGCAGGACAGAGGGGAACTGAAGCGGGCAAGGATAGAGGGGCGCCTGCACGAAACCCTGCTCGATCGACGGTCCAAAATGAAGTCCGACAAATTCTGCAAATAAACGACGCGGCAATCTGCAACCCGCATTGCCCCACTTTTGCCACTGCAGAGTTTGGGGAGGACCCTTCCCAGCACGACAAGTCTCTTTCAGACAGAACTTTTGTATGCTGCATTCCAGGTTCAGTGCTTCCAGTGTGCCTACAACACAACTCCACAAGTTTTCAAAAAAAAAACGTATGGTGAGAGCAGACTTGTACCGTACGCATTACAAGTAATCAAATTACTTGTAATCGATTACTTTTTGGAGTATTTTTGTAATCAGTTGATTACTTTTATTAGGCAGTAATCACAAGAGTAATCTTATTACTTTTTGGAGTATTTTTGTAATCAGTTGATTACTTTTATTAGGCAGTAATCACAAGAGTAATCTTATTACTTTTTGGAGTATTTTTGTAATCAGTTGATTACTTTTATTAGGCAGTAATCACAAGAGTAATCTTATTACTTTTTGAAGTAATAAAATTACTTGTAATTGTTACAATTTGTCCACGGGACCCCCCCCCGGCACACGCCTTTTTTTTATGAAATGACAAAAATAAAATTCGCTTTTTAAGTTCTTTTTTTTTTTGGAACGGAAAAAAGAAAGATTTTTGCGGAGCTGTAGGAAACGAGGTCAATCTCTTTCTATGTACAGTTTCTGTGGAATGTCCGTTTTCTTTTTGTTTTTATTTCGAGGCGGGACTGGGAGTGGGATGCCCCAGGGAAGCTACAGTGCGTGACAATGGCCATTCAGGGCGAAGTTTGAGGAAACAGAATGTAGCTTTGTGAGTCCTTCGTTCAAACTAGCCCCCTCACGCACACACATATATAAAAAAATAAAAAAAAATCCTGCTTAGGGTACCTACTCGCAGCCCTTAGAAGAACCAGAACCGAAGAATGCCTAAAGCGGATGCAAAATATAACAAAGGCAGTTGAAATATTTCCCCATTTCCCCAACGTAGTCTTTGTTACAAGCAAGGTTTTGAGTTGAGAAGTGGTCGGGGCGATCTCTTCCGCTAATGGATACTACACATGATCCGTTTCAAACCCTGGAGCTGCGGCTCTTTTGTTAACATACGAGCTCATCCACATGTGAATAATAAAATGAGCGACACAAACTTTGAGCGAATACCCTTGCTCAAGCTTAAAAAGATGTAGAACCCGCTCCGCTCCCGCTCCCCCCCCTTCCACACACACACACACACACACACTGGCGAACGCCCAAATCATTAAACGTCTTCAAACGAATTCTCTATGCTTGTGTCCGCATTGTGAAGGTGCAACGACCACGAAGAGGGAGCCAGTTTTTCTTCTTCAATACTTGTGCAAATGTGAAATATAGGTTGGAAGTAGTTCATTGTTACGAGCGCTAAAGATGTGGCTTCACACAATAAAGTAATCGTAAAAGTAACGATTACTTCTCCAAGTAATGTCCAATTACTTTTGCCATCGAGTAATCAAGTAATCTAATCGAATACTTTTTAGCCAAAAGTAATAGTAATTGTAATCGATTACTTTCTTTTAGTAACGTGTACAAGACTGGTGAAGAGCAGGGAGGAGTTTTAGTTGTCCTGCCTCTAGTGCGGGCTTCCCAGTTACCTTCGGCAATACATTAGTCTCCCTAACCTCGAACATGCGGGCACAGCCAAAACATGCTGGAGGCTGCACATTCGAAAAAGACGCCTTGCCGTTCTCGGTGTCCGTAGCTGCAGTGGAGCAGATTTCGTGCGACAAACGTATGCTTAGCATCGAGATGTTTTGTTAAGTCATTTTGATGCTGTGCAAAGCTTTGCCTTTTTTTGTTCACCCATTTCCATAAGCGATCCGACTAGAGCCATCTTCATGCATTTATTTGCTGGTCTACGAGAGGCACAAAAGATCGACCTCTTAACCAATCGTTCCCCCGAAAGGCTGGCAAATAAATGCATCATATCTTTTCCCTCAAACTGCATGAAGACGATCACCATTATTTTATCTTGCCTAGTTTTAGAACAATGAAGAGTTAAAAAGGGGCAAACGTTTCGTAAATGCCGTTCCGTGCCATACTGGCTACCTACCTCAAACGTTCTTGAACATGTGAGCATCATCCAGTAAAAGCTGAAGACAAGCCAGCTACAAAGACTAGCCAACAAAACCTAGTACCAAGATGCGAGCTAGGTAGCTTGGCCAACTAAATCCGGCAGCATACCACCAAGAGCAGCTCATTTGATGTCTTTTATTTCCTCTTAAAACTTTCAATACGAATACAGCTTTCATTTCTTTTTTTGTTTTCATTTCGAAAAACTGCGTGCCACATCTTCTGGCACCACCACTCCTTTCTCTTCCAACCGAAGCGCCGCTACGTTGACTCGGTGAATTCCAAACGGGAGGCAAATATTGTTGTCGTTGAGAGCTGGTTTCTTTTCGTTAGCGGAATGTAATTCGACCTTCCTTGCGCGTTACCGTGGCGGGTACCCGGTGCCCTCTTCGTCTCCAAGCGGAACCCCGCGTACCCGTTTGCCTCTCGTCTGCACCTTCTTTCTTCCAAAACGAGCCCGCTCTCAAAAACCGGGCCTAACAATCGTTCGCGACAACCGCTCTGGGATATCGCTCTCATCCGAGACATTTGTACAATGCGTGCCGTTTCCGTTCTCTCTTCCAGTCGGTACAAAAGCGCTTTCACAGACACACGCACATCCAGAAAAAAGAAAGAAGGCAGGCCTGGCATTGTTGCTTTGCCAGCCGCAATGCTCGCTTTCGCAGGGGAGAGGGGAGTTTGAAAGTTGGATCGAGAACTACAAAAGGGAATGGGAAGGAGAGATGCAGGGATAGGAAGGTTGTGGTCGTTTGCACGTCTACGGTACGACGTCAGTTTCGACCGCACAGGCCGCATCCCGCCGGTTACGTCGAAGAGTGTGGACGAAGCCAGCAGGAATTGTTGCACCCGAGCTGTCTGTATCACGTTCGCAAAATAAAAATAAAAGGCAACATCAAACCCTGGGGTAGCAAAACGCATTCTCTTCTGAGTCCCGTCCAAAAAATAAAAATTTAAAACCACAATTTTTTTAACAGCGTCATACGCAAACCTAAAGAAATGCAGCGAAGCGAAGGTTACAATTAAAACCTAGAACAACAAAAAGAGAAAAACCTTCCTCAATTGCATAAAGGGTGGTGCGAGGCGGTAAGGACCAGGCAATGGAGATGCATAACCGGTAAATTCACACAAGGGTGCCTAGACGAAAAAAAAACAAACAACGAAGTGCTAAAACATTTGCTTGACGCAACCTCTCCCACCCGATGTGACCCGGGGCAACAAAATTTCCAAACCTTGCGTGCGCGCGCGTCGAATGCCCTTGCTACTAATTATACCAGTTCCCAATCTTTATAAATTAATTTCACCGCACGAGAGCAGGCTACTTCTTCCTCGCCAAACTTTCGTCGACACAACTCCCATAAATATTGACGTAAAATAAGAAAAAAAAGTAGAAATGAAGATGTTTACCACGCGACGCACTTGCAACCCTCTTCGATGACTGCAGCCGCGGATCGTGGCCGGCCCCCTTAAATGCATTCCACGGCACGGCGATTTCCATCTTCGACTAAAAGAGTGGCAACGTTCTTGTAAACCAAAAGTATGCACACACACGCACACACAAAAAAGAAATACGGTGTCCAGCACGGAGGTAGTACAGACAAAACTCAACTGTCGGAGCAAGAAAAAAAAATTTGAAGACTCACTAAAGAAAAAAAAAAAAAGGGGGGGGGGGGGGGGGTAGCAGCTTCAGCCATGGTGTTGGCATGGACTTGGTTGTTACTGTTGTTATTGTAGAACCAAACTTTGAGGGAAGGGGATGCAAATTAAAGGAGTAGTCCTAGTTTTGGGGAGGGGTGAGGGGGGGGGGGGGGGGGGGGAGAGGGGAGGGCACTGGGATGTCCACTCCCCCCCTCAGCTGGAGCAGGCACTGAACGAGGGGAGGGAGTCGTCTTCGAGTTCTTGGGGCGTCCGACGGAGGTGAGGATGCCTCGAGTGCAGCCATTCCACGAATTCGTCCAACAAGACGGGCCCTGCAACAGGAACTGGGATGAAGCAAGCGGTGCGAAACTTTTGCGGCGACAAACGGGGTGCCGCACCGTGGACTAGCTCGACAGAACGGTGACCAGAATGGTAGGAATTCCGCGTGGGGCACACCACGCAGGATTTAGACTGCTCCAGCTGGTGTTCCGTTGGGCGAGCTCGGTGCCACACCTTGTACAGTCTTCCTCGGTGTAAACTGCATCACCTCATTTATTCCCATGTGGGATCCGATTGGCATTCCATTGGGCTAGCTCCTACTCCCCACACCCTGCGACTTTTTCTCGGTGCTAACTGCCCCACCCCATCGATCCCGTGCGACCCCCTTGGTGTTCTGTTGGGCTGGTTTGTAGTCCCACACCCTGTAGTCGTTCCTCGGTGTAAATAGTGTGCAGAGAGGCGATTGTCCAATCCTGTTCGGAATGTCCCCGATTAACATTCAGGTGGCTACAGGGTCCCCATCAAGGGATAATGATGTCATGGCCACGACGAGCGACCTTCAAATCCTTCGTCACAATTTGGCGCTGATACAGTTACCTGTTGGGCAGACTGTACCAGTAGCGAGGCATGAAGTTGGGGTAGTTGGTACATAATAATGAAATGGTAAAATGGCGCTTGAAAGGCGAAGGACACAAGAAAGATGTGCACTGAGAAGAGGCCGATTGTTGACGTAGGGCACAGTAACTCTGAGGCACGTGCTTGCACCTCGAGAGTCGCGAACAGAAAATAATATTTTTCCAGCTCAAAACATTTGACCGCGAAACTGAAAATGCACGAAAAAGTCAAAACCGGTCGAACAAAAGATCCACTCACAGGCTCCGTCCTCATCGTAGTTGGAAAGGTCCGGCTTGATGGTCCGGCTGAACTCCAGCACATTACACCATTGGTCCTTGTTGATCACCCGGTATTTGGACTGCTGCTGGCACAAACAAATACCGCACACAGGTGTTTGTGCGGACCAGGGGAACGCAAACACGGGCCGAAACACAGCAAGACACCCAAAGTCAAACGGTATAATGCAATCACCATATTTTCAAGGCTAGTCCGCGGGCTATGTACGTCTTAAGGGTACACCTTAGTACTATGCGGTGCGGACTACAGTAAAACCTCGTTATAACAAAATGGGATATAACAAACTAATGGATATAACAAAGCAATCATAATTCCCCTTGCTTGCTAATAGTGGGAAGAAATGGACAACGGCTATAACAAATTAATGGTTATAACGAAATAATTACGACCGCTCCAACTTTGTTATAGCGAGGTTTTACTGTATACACGTATGCAAGTAGGGCCCCAGGGCGCCACTATCTTGCTCAGTTGGGGTGCGCTTGGGCGCATCATAATCTGATTATGCTGCCAAGGCGTCGTAATTGCATTATGACGCACCCAAGTGCACCTCCTTGAGGCCATACTTGCAAATGACTATACAAGGTTTTTTTTTCGTCTAGACGAATCATGATGAGACGTAACGAATTTTGTGAACGACAGACTCTGTCGATGATTTCTGTACGACGCAAGCTTCTCTGCAGACTAATAAAGCGGGAATGCTTCAAGGTGTGCCGTGTAGGAGGACCCTTTCGTGCGGAATGCGCGCCACGTGCGAAACATGCAGTGTGCGGATTACGGCCCGCAAAATATGGCACATGCGGTGAATTTGTGCAGATCTAGCCCAATATTAACTGCCCATCAAGGTCTCATGCATTGCAAACAGTTGTGTGTACGTGTTGCAATACAGTTGGTGGCCTCTATATTTCCCCGCAGTAACCTTAGATTATACTTTAAATTAATCATTGTTTCATCCCCCCAAGCAGGCTCGAAATGGAGCATCTCTCGGAGAAATGGCGGAAGGGATTCTGGCGTTTTTTCAGCGCCCGTAAGCGACCGGCGTGAGAAGTAAGGGCAACAACAGACCTCGAGGAACTGGTGGAAAGAGGCACAGAGGGGCCAATGCTTGCCCAGCAGCAGTTGAAGCATTGCCTTGGCTGTTGCCATGTCCATGCTTCGCTGGTCCTTGTCCTGCAATGACCGTTGCCCGGCCCCCGAGACGTCACACACACGCTTGCCGCAGCCAAAGCCGACCCGAGTCGTCTCCCTCCAATCCATTTTCAGATTCCCGTATCTTACGACGGTCGTCATTGTATCCCAACTATTCTAGCAAGGTTAAGGAGGGGCACTAGCCAGAAGGGTAAACTTTTGAAATTTTTGGCTTAATATTGTGGTGAAAGAAACAGGCAGGAGACGGACGTTCCAAAACAACGTTCTATTTCAGTGATGTCTCGTCAGGAACTGCCTGTCAAGCGAGTCCAGTCTCGGCACAGGAAAAGAGAAAAGATGCGCGCGCTAGCTATACGCTCAAGCGCTCGTCTTTTTCTCTTTTCCTGTGCCGAGACTGGACTCGCTTGACGGTGCGTCCAGTCCCTACAATATGATTGAAATTTACAGTATAACTGTATACTATATGTACTGGCAGTTGCAAGGTAGAGTGCAGTGCCAAGTTTCATGTTACATGAATTGTGAAAGAAATTATAGTAATTTTTACCAGAAACTCACAACATTGTTTAGGAAAGCTATTGTTGGAAAGCCAATGTAATAACTAACACTAGACACACAGAAGATTGTCTAGAAAGTGCAACTGTGAAAAAAAAAAAGTCCAAAAAGTAATTTATTTTAAATTAAGCTAACATTGTGCTTGAAAAATCAAGTCAATTTTTTGCTTTTCATGTCGTCGACATAATCTTTACGTCTTTTATAAAAGACACCCACAAAGTAAGAAAGCAATGCCACAGTTGCATTGCCCATTTAATTCAAGTTAGGAAAAACGAGTGCGCCTTTCCTTTTGTACCGTTACCAAACGAGTTTTCTTGCAGTGAAATTTATGCCAAAAAGTGGAACAACGAAAACCGAATTTAAAGTGCTCGAACCCCTACCTTTCCTTTAGCAACGGTGGACCGAAAATTATTTATAAAAGAACTGTGCACTGTAAACAAATGAAACTTTCTGGGAATACTCTAGATATTGATGGATCTAAATATGGCATTTTTCAAAAATACACTTTTTGCAGAATTCTTTTTCTTTTCCGGGTAGCGTTTTTTAATAAAAACATTTAGAGCAACGAGGACATCTAGAACTATTATTAACATATGTACATATGTAGCGGGAAAGCCGTGCCACATATCTTCGTTACAGTCGAGCTCGAAACAGGAAAGCCGGCCCATAAACTCGTTCTGTGTGAATACTATACTACAGTCGACTCTCATTAATTCAAAATCTCTTAATTCAAACTTTCGGATAATTCAAACTAACGTGCAGGTCCCATCCTATGCGTCTCTACGGGAAGAAACACCTGATAATTCAAACTTTGCTTTATTCAAACAAATTTTCGGCCCCCCTCGAGTTTGAATTAATGAGAGTCGACTGTAGTAGCGTTGTTTAAAGGAGCTGTGCAACGATATTCAATTGGAATTTTTTTCTCTCTACATGAGCTTACTGGCACACCTGGGATTCAAGGATACTCACACGCAACGCCATTGGCCAAGAAACTCCTTTGTTGCGGTGTAATTTCAAGGACAAAAGCAATCATTTTCATTCAATCTCTCCTTCGCAAATTTTGATGACGTAACTCGGGGATCGCAGTACACCCAAGTGACGATATTTGAATGCGGTTCATAGATTGGACCCGAGCATGGCGTGGGCACTCGACGTGGGCTCGTGACAATTGCTAGCTCGAGAAGCCTTCGGGTTGTGACCCGTGTCCAATCGCTGCAACGACGACAACAGCCGAGCCATAACAATGTCTGGAACTCAGCGCGTGTCCTGTGCTTTGCCAACCCCAGCGCGTGGCTATGATCAACACTGGCGGCATATAATCGGCTCCAGATCACGTGGCCGCTTGTTCTGGCTGCGAGTTGAGAGGGTGAACGCTGCTCGTTTTTCTTTAATTTTTTTCTGGGACTTCTATTGCGTGGGGTGAAAAACGAACGCGTGTTTCATAGGTCAGTAACGTTAGGGATCCGTTTTCAGCGGTATTTGTGCACAGTACAAAAATTGTTGCATTGCTCCTTTAACATTTGTCAGCAGACAGGAGGTCTTCCTCATAGGACATGCACCGCTCAATTGCTGGGCCATTGCATTACAGCACGTTCAATTACGCTTTGCTTGCACGATCACACGTGTGTTCAGTGGTGGAGGTGTCCCTTCCAATGTACATTTAATGTATCTTAGATTAAAAAAAGAAAAGGCATCAAGATTCAACGGTTATAGACAGTTCCCCATGGTGAAAACCTCACCCTTGCGAAGTCGTACGCATATCTGTAGATGCTCTTGAAGTGGGTGGTGTCATTCAACAGGGATTTGAGGTAGTCCAGCTTGCCCTGGATCTTCTGGATTGAGTCGCACCTGGCAACCCCGAGAGAGAAGGATACCGTCAACAAAACAAATGCAAAAAAAAAAATTGGTCAGTGCATAGGCGTGCCATACTGCATAAATTTCCGTAGAACTATGTGTGGGTGACACAAGAAATGCGTGGGGGTGGGGGGGTTAACGCTTCGCCGAGTTGCGCTTGAGAGACGCGTGAACTGTTCATGCCGCAGAGGATGCGAGCTCGGCCATTGTCTAGTGCGACAAGCGAAGATTGTGGAATCACTGCTGCCGGAGCGGCGTCTATCGTCGTTTCAATCAGACGGGAGCGAGTCACGTCCAAGCGAGCAAATGAGAGAGCCAGCAGATAAAGAATTGCTGCAGAAACCACTATCCTTGGTTGTCTACGAATTCAGATAGCATTCGTCATAAAAAACCTCAAGGGCGACGGCTACACTCCATTCACACCTAAGCAGAGAATGCAGTGGAAGCTACGTCCTTGTTGGACCAGTCATACGCCTCTCTTTTGCAACGTCGTCACGCTCCCAGCCATACCCACGTGCGGAGTGCCAGGTCAGGTGATAAGAGGCAGCTGATTGGTCTGGCGGGCACATAGCGCCCACCGGAGTCTCAGCCCAAAGGTGAACGGAATATAGAATGACCTCTAGGGTGATCTTAAGGACGACCTTAAAGACAATGTTAAGGATGACATCCTAGAGGACGATGTCTAGGACGACTTCAAGGTACTCAGGTCCTTCGAAGGGGGTGCGAATGTGAGCTGAAATGGTCTACTGCGCATACCTACTGAGCGTTAGGAGGCCAGAAAGTCCAAGAAACCTGGGGTGCAGGGGGGCGATAGCTAAAGAATGCTATCGCATTAAAAGGACGTGCGTGCGCACTGCGCACCATCGGAGAACGTGGTAATGCAAATCTGGCGGCGCTTCTGTGTCATATAGGTGACGTCGCTTTCGTGACATCTATCTCCCAACTTTGAACCCCCTTTCAAGCGCGGAAAGAAACACAATTCTCAGGAGCAGATCACGCCGCAAAGAAACTCGACAGCTCGAGCACCGCCGAGCATGTTACGCGGACTCTGACGCAGGACCACTCTCGAGTCCAAAAACAATTTCCACGAATCCACGAACGCCAATTTCTTTAGAAACCCCGGTCTCCCACCCTTTGCCGGTCGAATCGTAATTTCACACCTTACACCGAGAGACCGAGATGGAACTGCGCGACACTCACTGGAGGTCCGAGAGTCCTTGTACCCACTCCTCCTCGGTGAAGAAGCCCATCTGCTTGGCATCCATCTTCCAGGCCAGCACCAACATCACAATCTGGGCGTAGACAAGGAGCGTGGTGAAACAGGCATCGTGCAAAGCAAGGGAGCTGACGACTCTATTCACTAGCGTTTGTCTGGCAACAAGCTCACTACCATCTACCGTCGGCGGAGGCTTGCACGCTTCCGGTTTTCTTATTTTATTACTTTTGTTTTGCATCCTTTTGTTTTTTGCCGCCATAAACATATTACAGTCGGTTTCCCGAAAAAAATAACCTGGTCCGATCGCTGTACGTTTCGGAAGAACACAAAATTCGGCAGACGCACTTAAGACTACTTGCGTGCAAGGCGAAAGCATTTGTACTCGCAGCGCATTACTACGAGCAGCACAACACGTATTCCTATTGCACACCGCGCTTCAGCGGTGACATCACGCTCCCCCACTGCGCAGGCGCGGCAAACATTGCCGGCGTCACGACGGCTTCCATGACAAAGCACCTGCGTTGCTGTGCTTTTCGTTGCGTTTTATTTCTGACGCGCCTGCTTTGACCTTGAGCGCACCGGCCGGCTTCAGTGACGAGGCATCTGCGTTTCTGTGCTTTTCTTTGCATTTTGTGAGGTGCATGCTTGACGACATAATTTTATTACCATCTTTTGGGGACAACGCCGCAGCTTTTTTGCGAAATGGGACAAGTAAGGCTTTCTTTCGCCTTAATAAACACACCACTGGATGCTTACTGGGGCATAAGATACTGTGGCGCTCACGTGCTATCAACTTCCTCTGAACGCAGTGAATAGTCGCCAACAAGACAATGATGGCAGGGCATCTCTTTTTTAAGGGGCAGTGCAACGATTTTTGCACTTTGCATAAATACCACTTAGAATGGATCCCCAATCTTTACGACGAATGCAATGCGCATTAAATTTTCCGCTCGTACAATGGAGTCAAAAAAAAAATTGAATGTTTTCTTTTTTAATTTGAAGCCAGAAAAAGTGCCCATGTGATTTGGAGTCGATTATATGCCGCTAACATTTATCGTAGTTTGTGCTGGGGCTGGCAAGGCACGGGAGACGCACCGAGCTCCAGACGCTTAGGGTTCGGATACTGTCATCGTGTCAGCGGTCAGACACGAGCCACTACCTGAATGCCCGTCGAGCTATCAATTATTGCAAGAACAAATCGAGCGCTCGCGCAAAGCTTGGGTTTAACCTACGAGCTCCATTTGAACATCGTCGCCGGGTGGACTACGACAACGCCGCAACCTCCAAATTACGTGGTGAAGTTTTGCAAAGAAGAGACTGGAAAGAAACACCCGCTTTTATTCTTGAAACTACATTGCAACAAAGGGGTTGCTTGGTCTACAGTGCTGCGCAAGAGTAAACTCTGGTCCCACCAGTGCCACTAAGCTTGTGTAAAAAGAAACAAAAAGAAAGAAACACCCTGCAATGCCGAATTAGAGTGCAGCTCTAGAGGAGGAGGGGGGAAGGGTACTGAGGGGGGGGGGCGGTCATGTGACCTGGGGGGGGGGGGAGAGTCACGTGACCCCCCTCCCAGAAGGTCTCCCGAGGTCCTCCCAAAGGAACCCGAGGTCCTCCAGAGGTCCTCGGGGGGTCACGTGCTTGCAGTTACGCCGACGCCGCTCAGGCCGGAAACAGGCACCTAAGAGCTGCGCTCTAAAAAAAAAACACACCAACTGAATATTGTTGCACCGCCCCTTTAAGATGTCCAGCTTCCGGCACGCGCTCTTCGGCTCCGCGTGCATACTCAAGGCTCGTGGGATGCCGAGGCGTCATCGAAGGAAGGAAACTCTTGCTGGAGGCGGGATAACCGAAATTTCTCCCCGACCGTAAACAATATCAATTTCCGCCAGATACCATTTGAGGGTTCATCCTAAATCGGGTGAGAATCAAGACAAAACTTAAACAAAGAAAAGTCCCAACTTTGTGCCTTCCATAATCGCACCAAAGAAAGAATGATTCGGCAGATATAATGCCATTAAAGGCCCCGACATACACTTCGCGTTTCAACTGTTGCAGGGCTCCTCCTTTCCTATATCCTCTCCACTTTTTACCTTGCCCCCACCTGGCTCCTCTCGCAGCTTAGGAGAGGGGAGCGCTAAGAGGATTATCTTCCCTGCAGAAAACCAAGGTTGTACGTCGGCCTTTAACAACGCATCCAGTTCTGGACGCATCCTATGCATCCAGAACTGCGCGGGAAGCACGGCGGAAGACTCTTCGAGTGGTTTGTCGTCTCGATGAGAGTCGTCTTATGGGTGCAAGGTGAAGCAAGGCGCTGAACGTCACAGAAACAGGCTCACATTTTCGGGTTCCACACCAATGTCCTCGCAGAATTTTTCCATTCCGTCGGGCCCCATCACCTTGGGCTCGTTGACAGCTGCAAAAGTATGTGAGCAGAGCTTCAGAACCGCCCAAACACACACAAAAGAATTAAAAAAAATAAAAAGATACGATAAACTTTACATAAAGACAAAGGGCAGGATATCGAAGCTAACGATGATGTAAAAGAAAAATCTAGATAGTCTGGAGAACCAAGACACAAAGTAGAAAACTTTCTCACTATAGTCCGTTGCAACCTAGGAACGAAGGGCGAGGGTAAGACGGGCAAGGGAGGAGGAAGCAGACGGAACGCCGGAGAAGAGAGGGGGAACCTCCTTTTCTCTTTAGCGTACCGTCTGCTTCCTCCTACCCGGCCCGTCTTACCCTCGCCCTTCGTCCTTAGGTTGCAACGGACTATAGTGGCCTTATGTTAAACAATAAAAGAACCTCACCACAATCAATTTAAACCAGAACGGGAAAAAAAAGGAAACACCTTTTTCCTCCTGCCAGTCTTGCGTAAAAATCGTAATAGTAAACTACCACCAGCTCACCTGCTGTATTTGCATAAAAAGAACATTCGTCATAAAAAAGCAAAGTTTCACATATACAAGTGTTTTATGAACAAAGACAGGAAAATCAAAGCTACACAAGAATGAGACCAAACAACACTGCAAAGGAGAAGTTGGTGATTAAGAGAACCAAAGTACAAAGTAGATGACTTTCCAATTGGTGGTTCATTTGTCACTGATTTTTTACACAAAGTTGGTATGTGCGCACCACACGCAACAAGTACTGCACGAGCAATACAAGCAAAAGAATAAACAAAACTTACAGGCATACTCCTGTAGGAGTGCTAGGCACCGCTTCAGAGAGAAGGAAGGTGGGGCGGCACTTTCACTTGAAAAGGGATTGCGTCGGGACCTGCGGAAAGGCAACACGACACGCTTCAAACCTGTTGGATAGCCGAGCTGACCAAAGGTCACTTTTTCGACCATTTCATCACCAAACAACTAGACAGTTCTCCGATTGTTGTTCACGCCCGTCATCTGCTTCTTGATGCACGAAGCAGCTGCAGAGGCACGCAGCTTTGCTAGCGTTCTGTCAACACGAGCGCATTGTCCTTCCGTTCCACGGAAAGACAATGTAAATTTCAAGACGCTGTTGGCGACAATGTCTGGTTCCGAAATATAGCTACCCACGTTTTGAGTCCAACCCTAAATAATAATGTTTTTTTTGTTTTGTTTTTGACATTATAATTTTACAAGCAAAAAAAACAGAAAAAAAAAAAAAGAAAGCAAGAGGACATGATTTTTGTTAGGCACGTTGGAGGAACCTCTTGAAAACTACTAACACTGATCATGAGCAATAGTAGGAGCAACGCATTCAGCGATTCTAGCCGCAAACAATGGATTGGATTGTGGCAGCTTCACCCTTCATACCCAGGCGATCCCAGTCTAAAACAAACTGTATCCAATAAAAATAAAAATAATTGCAGCTTCTTTCTTCTGTCCCACAAATGAGCTGAGGCCACGGCCGAGGCGCCGCACACTCTGCTGCGCACAGAATACGCACAATCATTCTCCGCCACCATTCAAAATTTGGCAAAGGGGCAAAGATTACATTCTCAAAAACACAGTGAGGGTGCAGGCGAGCTGGTGCAAGTTTACCATTTTGTTAAAATGCCCGAGACTGGTTGAGAAAATCTTGAAATAACCAAAGTAGAAGAGACGGGGAAAGAAGTCATCCTCGTGCGACGTCACAGCCCTGCCCCCCGAATCTAGCGGGGAAATCGTGACAACAGTGACGTCCCTATTTCCCCGCTAAATGTAGTGGGAAAACGTTTCACGTGACGTCAGACTCGCATAACGTTGCTATTTCCCCGTTAAATTTAGAGTGGTAAATGCATCATCCGACTCCAGCGTCAGCTGATATCACATAATGCAACATCCCGATTTCCCCAGCAATATTAGCGCCACATGCAGGGTGGGAAAAAAATCAAGCAAATGAGATTTATTTGATTTAAAGGGGTGATGCAACAATATTGACTCCGAAAGAATTTGCAGTTTTAAATTTTTACATTGTTTATTTAACCAAAAGGAACAGAAAAACTGCCTCACTTTTTTTAAATATTGTGATTCCATTGCATAATAAAGAAAATGATAATATTTCGCAATTCATAGCCGCGCGGTGGCGGCCACGGCAACTAAGGCGTGACACGCAATGGGCATAATGTAGGTAATAGGTTGACAAAATGTGCCACTATGTGGTATATCCAATGCCATATTTGATAAATATTGTCGTTTCAACATGAGTAAATACGTCAAAAACCTCATGTCATCAACAAAGTTGTATACATTCAGTTTCAGTAGCGCCATCTGCCCAAGGTGAAAAAAACTATTCCTCCCTTTAGTTTCACCTCGTTGTGCTACTACGTCAGTCAAACCTCCTTACAAAAAGGCAAGCTCTTTGCTTCCGCCCCCCTTTCCACATCGCTCAGTCTCAGACCAACCTTCAGGGTCGCCATGTTAATTGCAAGCAGAGGCCATGCGCGCTGAAGGCTCTGAAAGAGATCCCAACTGAATACTCTATTCCCATTGCGCGTCACTGCGAATGCAACTCGGACGAAGGCTCATGAGTTGAGGGTGGTTTGGAGGCGGCCAAAACAACAATTGTATTACTTTTTTTCTAAAGAACTAACGCGCGTAGGCAAAATTTTTTTGCAGTTCTTTAATCCACACGTGACAGGGAACAACTACCACAATTATTCGACCGAAGTCTAAACATTGCTGCATGGCCCCTTTAAATAACTCTAGCTATAAAAAGGTACTTCTTAATCACCAAGCATATTTTTCTTTAAACGAAAAATTGGTCAATCATTTTGTCCAATCACTGAAAAAATTTCGGATGAAAGAATTAGTGTAAATTTAAGGTACAGTTCAATTAACGTTTTACTAAGTAAATCCAGCCGTAGTGGAACAAAAACAACTTGATATTTTATTAGCTAGTGAAAATGCCCATTTGATTTTTCTTTTGCATTCCTATTTGCTTGCAATAGGAGGTAGCTTTTCTAGTGTTTGTTTCTTTCTCGCATTCTTATTATTTACCTGCAATAGGATGTTACGTAACTGACAAACAGAGCGGACGGTAGAAAGAAAGCTCAACGATCCGATTTGCTCAGACCATTGCTCTGTGCTTGTGTTCAAGCAGATATAAATCCCTCTCCCCTGATAATTTCTTGGTCTAAATACGAGACAAACGCACATAGAAAGCATCAAATGATAGACAAACGGCAAAAAAAAGTATACTTTTTGGGAATCGTTTTTACGCAAAAGGTGCAATTTAAATTATCAAAGTAAAAACCGGTCCCATACAAATTGCAATTTAAATCGCAATTCAAACCACGATTTAAATCGTCTTGTTTTTATTCTTGGGCAACACTGATTCCTCATTTAATTTTCTACAGCCTACACGAAATGCACTCGGGGATCTGCTGTGAAACTCTGCCAAAGATGGCTGTCGCCATAAAAGGTAAAGACGAAAGGGAGGAAGAGAAAACAAATGCTGGCCTACCCGACATGGGTGGTACGTAGCCGCTTGCTGTTGGCCTTGGTGTCATCGTCGTGGGCGTCTGCCCTCCTCCGCCTCTGGGGTCCCATGTTGGGGTCGAGGAGGACGCGTTCGCACACCAGGGGGGGCTGCAGCTGGAGCTGAATGCCCGGGCGGACGCTCGGCAGGCGTGGCGTGGTACCCTCGCGCAGTGTCTACCCATGTGTAGGGCCGAGGAAAGCGCAAACCGAGTCGTTACACAAGTGGCCGACACCAGTTTCCGGTCAACAAAAAAACAACCCTTCTGCTTGGTGTTATTGATAAAGTGAGTATTAGCACGGTCCTTAAATAAACTAGATCATTACACTAAGGCCTCCCCCGGCGGCGCCATTTTTGTTAGACTGCAGCGCCACCCACATACATCCGGGAATTTCAACGGAATTACCGGGGTAAAAGAGGGGAAAGGAAGCGCCCGATCCCAATGGCAGACGACTAACCGGACATTCTCCAAGGGTGGGGTAGAAGAGGGAGAGGGCATGTGCCATTCTCGTTGTTTGGGCAGTTCCAGCGGGCTGTACCGCCTGAACTGCCCAGACATGGAGGCTCATTTCCCTCTCCCCTCTTTCCCTAGTAGAATGGTCTACAGTGGGTGACTGGTTAAGAACCCAGTAGGTGCTACGACTCCGCCGTGCGTTCTTTGCCTTCCACCCTAGTGAACTGTGTGACCACAAGTGGCTCTGATCCATGTAGGAGTAAAAGAAGTCAAGAAACAAAATCTTAAATATATTAACAATTTATTAACAGCATTTATTAACTGCCCGTCACGTGAAGTCTTAATTATTTGAAATGGTATGACCCCTAGGTCTAGTATAAAGGCGTTTACAATCGTCAGTCTTTTCGAAGGGTCCGTGGGCTAAGAGTAACTTTCTATGAAAAAGTAACTGGCAACTTTCCGCATAGAGGCTTCTCAGAACCCAGGTTAACCCGACAAAATGACTTCCAACGCCTTTCCCATAGAGTGACTAAATTATTACCAATCGGGTGATCTAAGAACTGTGGTATTACTGATGAGCAAGGAATGCGTTGATAAAATTAGTTGATAACCCCTGCAAAATTGTTGAAGAAATCCACCTTATGACACATGAAAAGGGGCTGAAAACTGCCGCACGACCCTGCGTGTTAGAGCTACTAGGTGGAGCAAGCTATTACCCGCTGTGCAGTGTAGGGAAGTACTTCAAGTACATTGTACTTAAAGCACTACTTCAAGTAGGTTTAGGCAACTTGTGCTTTACTTGAAGTACATTCTCTGAGTATGTACTTGTACTTTAAGAAAGTACAATTCCCGACTTCAAAGTACATTCAGCAAAGTTGGTTTTGTTAAATTGGTATCACGAAATGATGCTTTGTGAACTCCGAAGATATACTGGGTGGGATATTTTACTCTCACCAGAGACGTGAGCAGACGATGCATCGCTCCGGTTGTTCTGGGGGCGGCTTCCCCGTAGCCTTTTTGAACTCCGGTGCGAACCATTAAACTTTCGAGTCAAAGAAAAAGATAACAGGGGAGAACGTCACAATGTTTTGAGACATTCTCTTTTTCTTTTCCTTCGACTTGAAAGTTCTTTAATTTTTTCGCAAACCAATCTCGGGTGTCACATTATGGTTAATTATCACCAGCTTACTTTCATACTATTTTTTTTTTATTTTCATTAAAGAGAGGACACTTCTTTTTTGAGAGGATTGCTTGCTGGAGCTACGGGGCTGACGTCGTGGCACAACAATCCAATGCAAGCGGTGCCAAATTCAGAAGAGGGACTTCTGAATTTGGCTCCATTCATGAAAATGACTTTATCAAATATTCGTCACTGTTTTTGAGAATAGGTCATGCACCCCTGATTACCTCTGGGCAATGCATGCTAGTTCAAAATCACTGTATAAGGGAATTAAAGGACATCATCAAAGATTGTGTTAAAATACTTGTACTTTGCTTTTAAAGTACATAGTATTCATAGTACTTTACTTCAAGTACCTTGCACCCAGTGTACTTTTTACTTTACTTGAAGTACATCACGTCTCATCTACTTTGTACTTGAAGTACCTTTCAGATGTACTTTACCCAACACTGCCACTGTAAAAGGTACAGCCGTCGCAATGCCAAACAACACAGAAGCCAAGTTCACATATTAAACATGTAACAAAAGTGCCATAGGCAACAATGGCCAAGTTCAAATAAAAAGTCAATTCTTTGCACTACAAACGAATCGAATATCCCTCAACCCAATCATACTGGTGATAACTTGCGTGATAGGAGCATGCATGTGACACAGTTGCGTTCCTCGGTCACCTCGCACCACGTAACCTTCCACAGATCATAGACTTAAGCTCCACTGGCATCAGCTAAGTTTTGAATACAGCATTTTGTGAATACAAATTACCCTAAACTACTACCACATAGAGATTTTCTAAATTGTCTGTAATCTTCCTCAAGAAACGTACATAGAGGTTGAACAGACTTCAAGGAGGCAACACTGGAAAGCAAGAAAGAAGCAAGAGGGCTGTCGGATAGCTGACAAAACGCCGAACAAAGCTGAGGTCCACCCTCTAAACAGCTAAGCTAGGCACGTCCAGCAATGCCTCACAAAGGCCAAACTCCTTTGTTAATGATGCCAAAACACTGTCTGTTTAAGCTGGATGCTGTTACTTAAGTGCTCCACGAGAAATATCAGACTGAAACGCCACATGCCGTGTTTAGACGAAGAGCTAGGTCAGGGCTGGACTTGTGACCTCTGCCAAGCAAAGAGCTCTCGAAGCAACACTCTGCACAATATCTAGCATGCGAGCCAAAAAAACAGGGGCAAAGTTCACTGACAGACAAGAAAGTCAACTCACTAGATTCCTAAACGAATATTGGAGGCAAGACGAATTCGTATTAATGTTCGCCACGGTGACTGAAAAGACAAGAAACAAAATGTTGCTTGTTAGCACTGTCGTTTAGGGTCACAAAAGTTGTCTCGCTATATCTTGGGACCGCACCTCACCCCAATTAAATGCATTTAAATCAACCAAGTAAACTAGTTCCAACGAGCCCTAGCGCTTTTCTACACATTTCGGTGCCACTATGTAATGCAAGTAACATGCTTCCAGCAAGGTCACAATTCTTGTCCACTATTAGAAGAGAAAGTTGCTTTGCACAGGCATGACACCACAGAACCTGTACCCAAGTTTTGAAGCAACAAAAGTACCAAATTAAAATTACGACGACGATCTAATGACTAGACAGAAGAAGCCAACTTCCAGCAATATTGTTTCCTTTTTTGTGTTCCTTTTTTTTAACTCTACACAAGCCTGAAAACATGTCCTAACAAAATAAGAGAGCCCACTATTCACTAAGTTTACAGAAAAAAAAAATCAGCACGACGAATAACAATAATCAGCCCTCTCTACATCTCGCACGACTTTGAGCACCACCCAACTGCGCAGCGTTTCGTCACACAGCCAAAGACCTTTCCAAAAATAAAAATAAATAAAAACCTTTCGCCACTACAACTTTGCGGTGACATGTTAACCGAGGTTTCGTCCTTACACCAGTCAAACGAACCACGCGACAAAATCTGTCGGCTTCCCAGAAAATAAATTAAAAATAAACAAAAGAACGGGGAGGACTTGCAAGTCTTGGAATCGTAAATCATGGTCGAAGCAACGCGGAGATGCCATTTTGGGCAGCAGCACAAACTACGAAATAATTCAGAAAAATTTCCTCTAAACTCTATTTTCAAAGTAGATAGTAAGTGCCAGGTTACGTATCAGCAACAAAACAGGGATCAACGATGTTTCGTGGCTTGCTGAGGCTCAAACAGGAGCAGTACTGCGGCAGCAAGCGTGCATCCCCAAAGAAAAAAAAAGAAAAAAAGCAGCGGACATTGTCGATTAAATTAGGCAGATAGAGGGCTAGCTTACGCCTGACGCTCGACACGAATAAAATATACCAATTCTTGACGTAAAATAACGCGTAACAGCAGCGTACTCTCAGCGGGAGCTGCGAGTGAAGCCAGGAACCACACAATATGAAAGACCGTTCAAGAAGGGTACTATCTCGGCCCGAAGGAGTGTGGTTGACTAGACTTCGCCGAAGCTTCCCAAGCACTGAAAGAACGCCGTAACAGCCGGAAAAGGCTATTGTACCCTACTCGGCGTTCCCTAAAATGCACTCGGACTCCAAGTCGGCGTTGGGAACGCAGTTCTGCAGCGATGAAACACGGAACAAAAAACAAAGCGCTACCCTTCCGATCATGCAAAAATTTCTCGCACCGTGTCCGTTGCGGGAATTTTTTCACCGGATAAGATTAGACTTAGAACTCAAAGCGTATAACTGTAGCCTACCTTCTGCGTGTGCTGCATCGATCTATGAAGTCGAAATTTTGGACAGCTCTCCCTGAAATTAACGCAATCAAGTAATTCCACTCAATTGCTTTTCGCCGTGCAGATCACGAGCATGATTGAAGAAGTCACGCCGTGGTGCGGCACGAAACGGCGCTTCTACAGCCTGACTAAAGCCAAATTGCGTGCTCCGTTATGCAATTGAACTACGAAAGATACATAACCTAATAAATTTTATTTTACAATTTTAACAGAAAATTGTTGAAGAGGTAATTATAAAATAAAGTATACTGTTTAAAAAAAAATTGGTTGTTCGTTTTGTGGCGTTTTTCACGTTTTGGCTCGACTCGGCGCGAGCTAACATGTGATCCGTGATGGTGCTTGTGGCGCTTGTGGTGCTTGTGTGTGGTGGACTTGGGAAGCAATCTGCAATCTCCGCGCTTCCTTGGGCTGTGACAGTAACCTTCCCCAAGACCATGGCCCTCGCCGTTATTTCGATCCACGAGAACGTCAGCCGCGCAGCCTACTTCTCGGAGAAAGACACGTATAGGAGACCAAGACAGCTCTCCACCACGTAGCAGGGCGGGCGGAGACGAGCCGTCCAAGATGCCGCGAAAAAGGCGCATTCCTCAAAAGTGTCCCAACGAATTCGATCCACAACAGCGCTTGGATCCCAGCTCGGCGGGCGGTGCGATCTTGCCGGACGGAATCATAAGGAACAGCTTCGCCATCGGTGAAGACATCCACCCGGGCGAATGCCTACGAAACTTGCAAGAAATGTTCCAAGGGAAGCTGGACGCGGATGTCATCCATATGGTTCTGACAGAGTGCGAATTCAATGGTAAGCTTCGTTTGCGGACTCTGCTATTTTGTGAGAAAGCGACAATCTGATCTTGAAGGCAGCTTAGGTTTGTGTCACTGTCCTCGGAAAGTGCGCGGATTGTCGTTGTGGAAGATGCCCTTGAACCGGCGCGATGGTTCACCGATAAGTGATCGGTGTGTACGATAAGCTTCGAATCGGAAAGGCACGACAGCGGTAAAGTGAGCGAGGTATATCGGTGGCGTATTGAAGGATCTGACACCGAGCCCAAGTTCGCCTCGAAATAGATTTACCTAAACGATCGTCTGCTGGGTCGGGGGGGTCTTTAAATATAGGCGCGCTAAGTTTCGTACGTATGTGCGTCAGTGACAGGCCTGCGCGGATGACAGCGAAAAGAAGCTGTACTAATATTTCACATTTTATTTTTGTCGACGTAATTTTGACATGGAGATTATCAATTCTAGTGCATTTAAAACACTAGAATAGGCCGTACTAGGAATTAAGGCGTGCTTTTGGTTATACAATCGACTGATCAGTCCAGCTGATCGTCTGGTGCTGGTCGTATTTTTTGCTGCGCAATGAAATGTTGGCCTTACGTAGCCTCTGTTAGGATTTCCCTCGCCAAAATAATGTAAATCTGTGACTTGACTGAATCCGAGCCGAGGAAAGAAACGTAAGACACATAAGAAAAAGGTACAATATACCATGTTTCTGTCTTTTGTTTTTCCTCCCATGTCCAAGGGTCAGTTATGTCAAATATTCACCACCTCATCCTGCGCTCTCTTTTTCCTATATAAATGTAGCATTCTGTGAGGTCTCCAAGTTGTTATATATCATAATTAACCCTTGGGAAGGCTAAAACAAACCTTAACCCTGCTCTTTAATTTTTTTTTTAAAGATTGTGCAAGTTTGCATTATTTTTGTTTGATTCCAGTGAACAACGCATTGGAGGCCCTGTTCACCCTCCTCCCGCAAGACGGTGCGGCAGCCAGTCCCGGAGACCTGCTCTCCGCCGCCACAAGTACCTTTCATGCCTCTTCAAACGACCTCTCTCCGTCTACGAGCAGCGAAAGCTTGGCGGGGGGAGAGAACATTGTCACCTCCGAGGCCGAAGTTCACAAGTCCAGCGAAGAGAGCGAGAGGGAAAGCGTCCTCGGAGTGGATTTCAGGTGTCCGCCACCCGCAGAGAACCCGCGGTCTACGCCCTTTTTCTCCTCTCTCTCCCGCTACGTCGACGCTCCGCCTTTTGTGCCCTGTCTTCCACAACCCAAAGCCTCCAGCACAGACACCTGCGCTTCCACAAAGCCGGTAAATGTGACCACAAAATCAGTCTCCGATGTTTTGGTCGGTCACGGCAGGGAGGGTGAAGCAGATACGGGACAACCGTTGTCGTCGTCGTCGTCGTTGTCAAAAGAGCAGGACGACCTAAAGGAGCTCTTGGCGAATGGCGAACAAGTATTGGTGCTCATACGAGGACTCCCCGGCAGCGGGAAGTCTACTCTCGCGGAGAAGATCCGCGGTCGCAACGGCGTGGTGCTCAGTGCGGACCACTTTTTCTACCGCAAGGGCATGTATGTGTTCGACCGGATGCGGTTGTCCGAGGCACACGAGTGGAACAAGCGGCGCGCCAGCCAGGCCATCCAAGATGGCCGCTCGCCCGTCGTCATCGACAACACCAACGTTGAGGTGTGGGAGATGATGCCTTATGTCGCACTGGCACTCAGAGCTCGGTACCGCGTTGTGGTACTCGAACCTGACACTCCCTGGAAGTTCAACCCGAAGCAGCTCACGCGACGAAACACCCACGGTGTTCCGAGGCGGAACATTGAGTCGATGTTGGAGCGGTACGACCATAGCGTCACCGCGGAGTCGCTCTGTCGGACATTTGGTTTTTTTCCGAGCGGGCCAAGGCCCGAAAGTGTGACCGCTAGTCCCGTTACAAATCCTACTGTCTCAAGAGTGGATCATCCAGTTCCGGTTGCAACCGAGTCTTCGGCTGACAAGGTGGTTGAGGCTGCGGAGGACTCTGGCGCTTATAAAACAGCTGCAGCGGAGAAAGCTTCGACAAGTTTGGAGACAATAAGTTTGCAGGATTTGATGGCGCTCGTTCAAAACGATAGCGAAGGGTCTGGGAGCGGCAGTCGACAGAATTCAGACTCCTGGTCTTCAGGACAGGACACAAACGACTGGGAAGACGCGACAGAACACGACGACGATTTTCTCTGGACTGCCTCGAGCAAGTCCGCTGCGTCGCGGGCCCGGACTGGACTTGCGGTTGAGGACGCTCTGTTTGAAGAACCAGAAATTCCAGATTCGGGGAGCGAAGCCGACGATATTCCTACGGAACATACCGTTGCTGAAGATATTAAGCTACCTTCTATAGAATCCTCTCCCTCTGCGCAAGAATATGCAGATTGTGCTGACACCCGGGTAGACAGTGCTCCAAAACCGCAGAGAGAGCTGCCAACTACAAAAACCAGCGGACATTTGCAGAAGGCTGAAAATCCATTTCTGCTCGAGAAATTCCCAGAATTCTCTGAGCCTTGGGAGCCGCACGAGAAGCCAGCTCCAGTGGACGACGACACTCCGAAGCCACAGAGGTCGCCACAGCGGTCTAGACAAAGTCCCAGAAAGACCAGTGGCGACAGGGCCCGGTCTTCTAGTCCGGTACCAGAGGTCCCCCACACCGTCCCGAGGACGGCCGAAAGCTCTCGGCAGGGTCGATCTGCCGTCCGAAGGCCGATCTTCGGATTGGAAAAAGTTGTCCGTAGCAACACATGGACTTTCCCGGAGTTTGCGGTGTACGAACCACCACCGGTAGACCCATCTGATGTCACCAGGATCAGTCCCGAAAAAAAGGATGCATCAAGTGCTACCGACGGCTCCGACTTTGCACTTGTCCAGAAGATACTCACCGGTGAGTCCGACGAACTCAAAGTCCTGGTTGGAAAATGCCCGGTAACAGATGATCCGCCGGACTATGAGGCACTGTTCCCGTTGTATCGCTCAAATACCGTGGAGAGGAGTACGGACACGAATGACCTCCCAACGAACGATCTGGACTTTGCTGATCGGCTGGCCCTTCTCCAGCAGTGTATTCCCGGGGTCAGTTCTCCGGACTTGGAGGACATCTTCCAGCGTTGCCACGGTGACCACGTGTGGGCAGCCAACCTGTTGCTGGAGTCTAACGTGCCGTGCGACTTGCAGCCTCTTGTCATCGAGGAAGACGGAGACGCCCCAAAGCCGACCGAAGCCTCAAGCAATTCTGGATGCGACAGAGAAGCAACTGCTGTTGCAGTCATATCAGAATTATCACCGCCGGTGACATCAGGTCTAGCCACACCACAGACAGCAATAGGAATGCCCATACCTGCGGTGCTTCCATTGGCAGAAGTGCCAGAACTGGAGACATCGTCGGCAATACCAACAGTAGAACAAGCACTGCCATCATCTTCAAAGCTTCCAGAGAAACAGCAAGGGTCAGCTACGGCTTCCAGTGACATTGTAGTGAACAATAAGGGTAGAGATTCATTTTCAGAGCCATCAGTGCGACCCCGAAAATCTGTTGGAAGGGAGTTCACGTTTACCTTGGACCACTCCTTTGCCTGTCAGCTTGTGGATGCCTTTGGTTCAGAAGGACTGCATGTCTCGCTGGGTTAGTGCAATGACTTGTGCAGCTACCGGACTGCTTTCTACCGTGATAGTTCTGCAATGGCGAGCATATTTATATGAAAAACGGGTTAGCTTTGAATAGGGTGGTAGTGAGTCCGAATGAGAGCACTTCATAACATACACAGATTGAGCAACATGTATTTACATCGTCAAGGTTTCCTTCAATATCTCGCCTTACTAATACTCCTATAGTTTCAAGCCGACAGTGCCTACCTGGCAGCTTACGCATGTTACGCACCTAACAACGGGAATAAGGAAGTGTTCTTTAAATGTCAATGCTACAGTTAACTTTTTTATGTTTCAGAAATGTTTGAAGGCCCGTTTGTACCATAGCGTTTGATTGCATTATGTAGAGATACGACTGCAAGTTGCCGAGACGTCCGTCCTTTGTAATCTGCTCGTGAAGTCGCGCTTGAATTCCTGGATGACCCGGTAACTTGTGGTCATACCCCGACAGACGTCCTTGCAACATAGTTAAAAGCTACTGTGCAAATTGTGCCCGTTCTGCACCCAATGGCGGAACCCACAAGAAAATGGAGGAATGAAGTGCCCACACTCAAAACATAGCTTATTTAGTAGCAATCGCTATCGGCCCAAGTGTGGAGCATCCAATCTTTTGCTTTCTCCTGTATCGTCTCCTTGTGCAGATGCCTTCAGTCATCAGGACCTGAGCGTCACCATCGGTAACGACATGGCAAAGGAGCTTCATCGCCTCTGGATGGAAACACTCAGGAGCACCATGAAGAGGGAAGAAGAGGAGATAATGGAAATGTGGTCTGCTCCCTCGGTCGAAGGTTTGTCTCGACAGTGTTTTCTCCGCTCTACCTGTTTGTCAGGATTTGTCCGAAATATTTATAAAATTCACATGTATTAAAAAAATCTTAAGATTCTTGGAATCTCAGATGCATGGACGTGGCAGTGAAGGTGACTAAGAAGAGTCATTTGTCATAGCTTAAGCTGTTTGAATAATGTGCATTAGACACCTTGAAGAAGTGTGGCACAAGGTTCGCTAGAAGCTTCACAATTACAGCCGTCGGCAGCGGCGTCACTATAAGGTGGGGGGCGACCACCCTGGGTGCAGCACTCTTGGGGGGGGGGGGGGGGTGCAGCTGGGCAGTAAAGGGTGGGGGGGAGTCGCGGCAGGCTATTGCCATGGGTGCCGGTGGCCCTAGTGACGCCATTAAACTGATGATGTGCACAATAAACTGATGATGCGCACAACCGAGTTATTCCTAGCATCGTCGACACTTTGTGTTTTATTTGGACTACCATTCCGCGGTGTCTGCGATGCTGGGTGTTACCACAGAAATTGGCAGATGTGACGCAAGAAATAATTTTCTCCGGTTATTTTTAAACCACAAGTCCCATACATTGGGGGATAGAGCTGTTTGAAATCAGAGGAACACCGTCTAAACGGAGCAGGAGTCTAGCAACACCGACGGCGCTTGAACGCAATGTTACAAATGTGCCTGTTTCCTTTATGCGCACCTCAAAATTCTGCTAGGGCATTTTTCACAACCCGTTACAGTAATGGTGCAGCGTGTACATCCGGACAGCGGGAAGTTATCAGCCCCAATGGGCGTCTGGTGTCTCTGCTGCTCAATGCTTTCCGTTGCAATTCCGGGTAGAGGCCTGATCGTTTCTGTTGACGTTCTCCGACAGAGACGACGAGCCAGGCGCAAGCGGGCGCGGAGAACGACCGGAGGGAAGCGTCGCCCGATGTCGACTGCGGCCCGCTCCCTACACTCAATGACGATCCGCAGTGGGCCAAGGCACCACACGAGATGAGCTTCCGCGAAATCATGGAGATGGAGGCGGCGTTGGAGAAGAAACGGAAAGATTGGGTTAGTGAGCGTTGCAGGCTATTGCTCGCTCACTCCGTTCCGGTACGAGATCCGGTAAAAAAATGGCCCACAAACTGAGGTGTACAGATCACATTCGGGGTACACAAAATCCAAAATTTCACCATGGCAGTTTACGAAAGTTGTGTGGCGTCTGCATTTTTGATACACCAATGCTCCAAGTGCTCGTCTACCGGTCGTTGCGGAAAACTCCAAAACTGTGGCGATTGTTTGTTCGTGTTAATTGTGTTGTGCTCCACTAGAAAAAACATTTTGTACATTAACTTTATTATAGTCTCCGACTGGACGACAACGGCAGGAAAGAGCTTAAAGGGAAACTGAAGTAATTCTGTGTTTGAGAGAAAAAAACGCTTAAATCGTTTTTGTCTTCCTGAATTACGAATGTCAATTTTCTAAATTTTTCTTGCGTCCATCGATTCGTTTGGGTCAAACGCTCAAGATATTCAGATTCACGGGACAAAAATACGCTAGAATTCACCTCCAACTCGTTTTCTTTTCAATAACCTTCGGCTTCCCTTTGTGTTGTCACATCTCCTGCTTGAGCTGCCTAACCTTCAATAATGCTCCACTTTCTCATGAGCGTCTAGCATGCATGCTCACCTGAAGCACAACGAGGGGTAGCGAGCACGTGCTCAAGGCAGGGTATTCGAAAGGGCCGCCCGGCCGTTCCCACCTCTTTGGTGACTATAAGAGTTATTCTCGCAAGACATACGCGGGCCATCGAGAAAGCGTTTCGTGCCGTTGCGTGCCTTGACATAGTTTGTGGCGGACCTTTTGTCCAGGCGAAGAACAACGCATACATGGACATGGCGACAAAACTCAAGCACAAGCAGCTCTACGACAGGTTCCCGGGAGTCGATCGTCAGGCCCTGGACGACATCTTCGTTGCGAGCAAGTAGGTTTTTGTGTCTTTCCATGGCATTAAAGTGTCATCCCGCTAAACGTCGCGACATGCATACGGTCATGTCGTAGCGCCGGACTTGGTGTAACTGCCGTAGCCCCGACTTAATGCCACGGCATCAAAGTCGGCGACACCTCAGCCTAAAAGCCATTCGCTGGTTTCTGTTGACGCGTCGTTAGATAACCTACATGGCAGTCTTCAGCGGATTTCAGTCATAAAATATAAATTCGAAGCACATTGCTGTCCGGAGTGCCTAATTTAGGCTCTTGCCTATTCCGCGTTTCACCTTGCAGTAGGTTACGGTGGACGCTACGAGCCATTTCGGCCAATCTGGTGTCGTAAACGTGTCGCGCAACTTTGCGCCTAGCGTGTCGCCGTGCCCCCTTCAAGCTCGTGCGACAGTCTTGTGGCATTCGAGTGGTTTCGGTGGCACGTATTGTCCTCTGCAGCCTGTCGTAAGGTGAAACCAAGTTTAATTGATGGCTTTTTTATTTTTTTTTTATGATGAATTGAGTTGGGATCTTGCATCTATTTTGCGCAGTTATTCGCTGATCCAGTCCATCTCTACGATCAACGAGACGCTCGGAATGGCCTCGGAAGAAGAAAACGTGGAGGACTACGAGAGAAAAATCGTCGAGCTCGTTGCGTTGGAGAGCATGAGACCCGTACGGCCGCACCTTTGCTTTCACCTTCTGTTTCATTATGTTTTAGTCATGAAATTAAACCCATATTTATCTCCCTAGAGGCCCTAAATAACGCCTTACATAGGGTGCTTGAGAGAAAAAAGTGAAAGCCGTTTACCACTTCCTGTAACGCCGAATTGGAGCGCAGCTCTTGAGGAGGAGGAGGGGAGGGTACTGGGGGCCACGTGTTCTCGGGGGGGGGGGTCACGTGACCCCCCCCCGAGGGCACGTGACCTTGGTGGGGGCACATGGGGGCAAACACGTGCCCCCCTCAGAGGTCACGTGACCTCGGGAGGGGGTCACGTAACCTCGGGGTGTCACGTGACTCCCCGGGTCACGTGACCAAAATTTTTCCGCTAGATTTAGCGGGGAAAATTTTCCGCTAGATTTAGCGGGGGTTTTTTCCGCTAGATTTAGCGGGGAAATTTTTTCCGCTAGATTTAGCGGGGAAATTTTTCCCGCTAGATTTAGCGGGGAAATTTTCCTCTAGATTTGGCGGGGAAATTTTTTCCGCTAGATTTAGTGGGGAAAATTTTTCCGCTAGATTTAGCGGGGAAAATTTCCGCTAGATTTTGGGGGGGAAATTTTTCCGCTAGATTTAGTGGGGAAATTTTTTCCGCTCGATTTAGCGGGGAAATTTTCCGCTAGATTTAGCGGGGAAATTTTTCCGCTAGATTTAGCGGGGAAATTTTTTCCGCTAGATTTAGCGAGGAAATTTTTTCCGCTATATTTAGCGGGGAAATTTTCCGCTAGATTTAGCGGGGAAATTTTTCCGCTAGATTTAGCGGGGAAATTTTTTCCGCTAGATTTGGCGGGGAAATGTTTCCGCTAGATTTAGCGGGGAAATTTTTCCGCTAGATTTGGTGGGGAAATTTTTTCCGCTAGATTTAGCGGGGAAATTTTCCGCTAGATTTAGCGGGGAAATTTTTTCCGCTAGATTTAGCGGGGAAATTTTCCGCTAGATTTAGCTGGGAAATTTTTCTGCTAGTTTTAGCGGGAAAATTTTTCCGCTAGATTTAGCGGGGAAATATTTTCTGCTAGATTTAGCGGGGAAATTTTTCCGCTAGATTTAGCGGGGAAATTTTTTCCGCTAGATTTAGCGGGGAAATTTTCCGCTAGATTTAGCGGGTAAATTTTCCGCTAGATTTAGCGGGGAAATTTTTTTCTGCTAGATTTAGCGGGGAAATTTTTTCCGCCAGATTTAGCGGGCAAATTTTTCCGCTACATTTAGCGGGGAAATTTACCCATAATGCACCGCGCGGTTACGCCGACGGCAACGCCAACGGCGACGGCGACGGCGCTCAAGTCGGAAACGGGGGCCTAAGAGCTGCGCTCTAAAAGAAAGTATTTGCTGGAATGAACTGCCAGCTACGGTGGACGTCGGTGATTGCAAGAAACACACTAGAAATGCGAACGATAAGGATGTCACCTGCATTTTCGCATTGACAACGCTGACCTTAGTTTACCACTCGCACGCACTTCGTCATAAAATTGACTGATTTTGGGGGTATCGATGACGCTGAGCAAGTTTCTAATTGGAACCATAGGCTTATTTCACTAATTGCAAAGTTAATTCGTCAATTTTAGGTTATGATTTTGCTCATTAGTATGTTTCTTTTTAAATCCCTGATGTTCGCCGTGGCTGGCAGTTTGTTCCCCAAAAAGAGCTTTTTTTTGCTCCACCACCCTATTTTTAGGGATATCTGAAAGTCTTTGCAGGAACAGCCGGTATATTGCAGTTCAGAATGGTCACATTGCATATGCTTTGTACTCTGTGTAACCAGTTGCGTGCAATACACACAAAGGCAATGCCAGGCAAAGGGAGAAAGGGCAAGCACTATGAAGGCTGGGGAGAAAGAGAGAAACCTCCTCTCCTCTATATCATTTCTAGTGTTCTTCCTTTCTCTCCTTGCCTCCATTGCCCTCCTCTCCTGTCCCACCTTCCTAGTGCTCACCTTGTCTCTCTCGCCCTCCGTTGCCCCCCTCTCCCATCCTGCCTTCCTTAATGCTCGCCCTTTCTACCTTCACCTGACATTGCCTTTGCCTGCACTGCACACAACTAGTGACACCGAGTATAGTTGGCAACGCAGTTTGTTGGGCATTAGTCACATTCAATGAATACAAGCACAAGTGCAACGAACCGGCTGCGGCGAGGTTCCCGTCTGATGCCGCCCCTTTACTGCTGGAAACCTGCCGACAGGGCGACCAGCAGGACGACGAGTGGCAGCCGGCAGTGGAGGGCCATGAAGACCTGTACGACCGCCTGCAGCTGGTTGGCGACTACGACGTGATCCGGCGCGAGGCCACGGTGCACTACCACATGCGGCAGGAGGCCTTCCGCAAGGCCAAGGAGGCCTACCATCGGGGCATGAAGACCGTGGCTGCCTTTTACTCCCAGCAGGTGAGGCCTCGCTAGGCTGCCTCTGCAGGCGACGCGACAATGGTCGAGTACCGGCGACCGAATGGTGACAATAGTCAAATGGTGATGATAGTCAATTAGATGGTAACAGTAGCCAGAAAATGATGATAGCCAAATGGATGGTGACAGCGTTCTGATAATTATGATAACCAAATGGTGACAGTAGTCAAATGGTGATGATAGTTGAATGGATGGTAACAACAGCCAGATAATGACAATAGTCGGATGGTGATTGTAGTAAAATGGATAGTAACAATAGCCAGATAATGACGATAGTCAAATGGATGGAAACAGCAATCTGATGGTGGTGATAGCCAAATGGTGAAAATAGTCAAATGGTGATGATAGTCAAATGGATGATGACAGCATTCTGATGGTGATGATAGCCAAATGGTGACAATAGGCAAATGGTAATGATAGTTGAATGGTAACAATAATCAAATGGTGTCTCACAGATGACATGAGTACTGCGTGAGCATTCAACATGGGCTCGTAACGAACACGAGCACTCGAGCAGTGGTCCACATTTAGTCGCTGCAATGACGAAAATAGCCGCCTCGGTGGCTTCGAGGCAAAGCGCCAGCCTACAGATCCCCAGGTGGCGGTTTCGAATCCCGGTTGAGGTGCTTGCAAACTGACGAAGCTCATTGCAGAGAAAGCGCCTCGGTTGCTCGTCAAAAGATCCCCAGGTGGTCCAAATTAATCCTCAGCCCTCCGGTAAGGCGTGCGCGATGCCCTTCGTTGGTTTGGCATGTAAAACCCCCAAATTTGACTTGTGATGACGGAAATAGCCAAACCCATATAGGGTTCGGCTATTCGGACACGTGCAGTATGTACTTGTGTTCAAGCTGCCTCTACGATCACTGAGCTTTGCCTTGGTTTTCAAGTTTGGAGATCTCGCAAACTCTGTTTCAAACAGATTTGAAGGTTGACCGTGGTCGTTCAACCTTTAGGCCCGCCGAATCCATGCATAGTTCCCCAACGATCGTTTGGATGTCCTTCCAAGTACTGCAGACTTCCATGTCTAAACACTCTTGGGTACATATCTGTTTTTGCTTTCTCTTTGTAGGGAAGGGCATACGCTCAGAAGATGAGGGAAGCCAACGAGCGGGCGTCGGAGAAATTGGTACAACTCAGGTTAGTGGGCGACATTCATGCAGTACCAACAACGTCTGAACCTCTATAGCAATTGTGCAGCCACTGTTGGCATGGATGGCAGTGTTAGGAAATACTTTAAGTATGTGGTACTTAAAGTACTACTTCAAGTAGGTTTAGAAAACTTGTATTTTACTTGAAGTATGTTCTCTGTGTATGTACTTGTACTTTACTTTGAAAGTACATTGTATCTATAGTACTTTACTTCAAGTACATGTGCCCGGTGGACTTACCAGCTACCTTACTTCAAGTACATAACCTCTCATTTACTTTATACCTTACTTCAAGCACCTTTTAGATGTACTTTACCCAACACTGGTGGACAGACAAGCATTTTGTGCATGCAGAACGAAGGTGTCTTAATGTTGCTGTATTCGAGCTTAGGGCAGAGTACCATCAGTGCACATCAATATCCACTGCTCAACATTCAGCGGTCCTTTATACTTGACATATGGTGAACCGTTAGAGGCATAAAAACCACTCTGAAAGGACTACTAAGAAGGTGGTCAGCAACTGAAGCAACGGTTATACGGTTAATGACTGTTCCAAAACACGTCTTGGCCGCATTGAAACGTAAGAAACGCAAATCAAAGGGCAACGTAAGAGAATATGCGGGGACTGCGTAATGATGAGGCAACCGAGCATGCGCCGTGATTGGTCAAGATTGAGGGGAAACAAAAGCATGAAGGCGCGTTTGGTGGATAAAAAAAATAGACGAGGAGCGCAAAGAACAGACAAACCTGCGCGCCGTGTAGCACCTGCATGAAGCATGCTAAAATCGGCCGTCTCTCTTACGATTCTATGCCTGTCTGGTATTTTGCAAAACGCCGGCTTTACCATCGCTCGCTCGGAGGCACGTCCCGATTAATCGGAGCTCCCGGCGATTCGTTGCCAGGAACGCGGGCAGTGACGACAACAGCTTGGACCTGCATGGGCTGCACGTCCAAGAAGCCATACAGGTGCTGAAAAACTTTGTGAAGCTGAAGAAGCGCGAGGCGTGGTGCCTCCAGAAGAAAGTGGTGCTGCGGATAATCACGGGGAGGGGCGCCCACAGCGCCCTCAACATCCCCAAGGTCAAGTTTGCCGTCGAAGGGTTTCTACTGAGCAGCCAGCTCAAGTAAGCTGCCACTTTTTCCTGGTCTCTGCTAAGCTGCACTTGCCCGAGCGGGTTGCTCAAAGGGAAGCTGAAGAGGATTTTGAATTTGTAAAATCTGCGAAAGTCTGAATGTACTATAGGCACCTTTAATATTGTGTATGTAAAGTTTATTTTTATTTCATTAGTAAGGGCGTCGTAATCGCCAGTACAAAGATTAACGTAGCTCCGCCCGTTGCCGCACGCCTAGCGCAGGCGGGCACGAAACGAAGAGAAAACTAGCAAAGGTGGCGTCATTTGCGGGGTCAGATGATTCTTGCTCGCCACTGAGCTGGCTGGGAGATACCAACGATGACACTGCGACGCTTCGGGCAGAAAACGGGCGGCAGGGATGCTCGCCGCATGCTCATCATCAATTGCTGCACTTTATTTTTTTAAATAAAAGTGGAGGGGTTTTTGGGGGGAGCATGTACTGCTATTTTAAACGTGCAACAGACTTGTAGCAGTCAATGATTCTTGCACATCAATTTGGGACTATGCAACCTAAGCAAAGCTTCCGACTCGCGTCTGTTAGTTGTCGAACAAGTTTTCTTTGAACTGTGCTGGGGTCGAACAATTAAATGAGTGAGCTCGCTTTTATTTCCATTCTAGCTACAAGGAGGTGCAAGCTGGCATGTTCCACGTCATGCTGTAATACCGGACAGACGTCACTTCGACGCGGACGTGCGCATCCCATGGATGTATATTTGATACCGATGCCTTTTACAAATGCGATGAACTGTACTTTTATATTGCCCGCAAAGTAGGCACCTCATATTTCTGACTCCCGTGTCAGCGCACTTGGACCGTTTAGTCGTCGTCCGTTGAATTTATGTGGGGTTGATTGAGAGAAGCGTATTTATTTAGACATACTGTTATACTTATTGCTTTTAGGTCAGTTTCGTTGACGGCTCACTACTTTACGTGTATTTTTCGCTCATTACTATACTTATTGTTATTTTAGTATACTAGCAAAGAATGAGGTAAGACCCCCTTAGGGGTTTAGGTTTGAATGGCGATGCGACGTTTATTGCGGAATAGGCAAAGGATATCGAAATGTGAAGCCAAGAGATGCAATGCAGATTTTGCTAGTAATGGTGTCGATATTTTGGGGACGTCTATCTGTACTCATGTAGCAGGACTTGGTTCGATGAAGTGTGGCAGTATGCGAGTGGAAATTTCAATAGACTACTTTATGCAAGTGTTGAGTATCATCCAATGTGTGGTGGTACGTCGCACCAGTACACCACGTCAGTCTCGCATTTGCTCACGGTATAGAACCTTTCTGAAACTTCGAAATTATGCGTAGATTATGCGCGGCTGCCATTAATTGGTCATGCCCTGTGAGCACGCATTGGACACAAGCGCTTCGTCCGCATTCGGAGTGTACTCTGATCTAAAAGCATTCCACCCGGATGCTGCAGCAGTGCTCGGCCCGAACTCGGAGCCGATCACAGGCTTCACGCCGGAAGCGACGAGACAAACTAGTGGCGGCTGCGCATAATCTATGCATCATTTCACGATTTCGGATAGGGTCTGTTGGCAACATAATATAAGTGTCTGACGCTTTCGGATGAAGTCGGCGTATTCAGCATAGTGCGGACGACGACAGTGTTTTCTATGTTCTCGTCGACATTGCAACCCGCAATGCCGAACGAGAAGTGCTCAAGTTTTCTATACGGACGTTCGTTGAAATGCTTTGGGCACACGAATACCTTCAAAATGACGATCTCATGCCGCTTATAGTATTGTAAATAGTATGCCAAATTTATCTCTCCGTAATAATGGAATTATTTTTTCTTTTGTAACAACACGCATACGAAAAATGTACATAAAAACATGTTTTTACTTACGAAAGAGGAGGCCCATTTTTCACATTTTGCATGCCTTTTTCTTTTTTTTTTTTTTCCACTTGTAAGTAGGGTTTTGAGTTTTCAGTGCGAACCGATAAACCCCCAAGAGCGTTTCCCGGGACCAGTTTTACGGAAAGCCTCATATTTTGAGCTTTTCTTCGATAAAGAAAAACCCAAGCTTTCCAGGCAGATAGCTTTACCGACAGGTTTATTTTGTGTGAACTCGTGGCTGTTTCTTTCTCTGGGATCCATACCAATCATCTCATTTGTGTTACGTGCACATTCCCTGGGGCTTTGTCCTGTTTTCTTCAATGTGAGCCACGAATAATGCCAATATTTTTTGTCCGACACCGGTAAAATGCAGCATCTGTGTGGGAAAAAAAATAATGATAAACCCCGAAAACTTGGAACCCTACTCATACGGGACAAGGTCCCTGTGCCGTCAGCTTTGTGGATGGTGTAAATAAACATTTCTTGTATACAATGTCGGTTGTCGCTGCTCGACGCGTTCCGGCGTCGGTCGGCCGCGCAAAAGGGGTCGCCTCATCCCCTGCGTGGTGGGTTCCTTGCTGACGGTTGGTCATGGTTTTCTTTCGTACACCTGCAAAAGTCCCGAAAAAAAATATAAATAAATAAATTGCCCGACTTGGACAGTTTGTCAAATGCGACAAAGGTGTGACGGCACTAATGCGCAGGTCCTATTCTACGGCTACAGTGTGTGGAACATGTCCCCAGTTGGTGTGTTGGCCACGTCAAAAAAAAAGGTGGTCCCTCGATTTCCGCCTCCGCAGACGCCTGTTCTACTGCAGGTGGCCCTTCAGCTTGACATTCCGTGGAAGCTTTAGCAGCCGGGAGATGGAACGCCGCGGCGACGACGACGACACTCGCATTCTCTCATGCTTTTTCTCCAGAACTGCAAGCTCAACCGCCAGGATTGCAACATCCAACAGCGCGACAGTCTGGCTTTTGAGACGTCATTTGTTGCCACTTGGGAACCACTTTTGACGCGTGGGCGGAATAGGACGCTAAACGCACCAGTCTGAGACGTAGCCTCCAAGTGTCGAACGGGAATCCGAAAACCGGAACCTAAATGTTATTTTCAGCCGAAATGCAACGGAAGTGAACCGAAATCTTCACCGCCATCTTGGAACTGAACCGGAAAAGAATATAACAGTAACCGATCCCAAACTATTCACAGTATTTATTTATTTATTTTTTATTATCACAAACTGTTATTATCACCATCAACAGATGTGGCCAAACTACCTACCTAGTAACCATATATTATTTTTTTCATGCTTCTTTACTTTCTAGTTTTGGTCCTCACCACTTTTTTTTTCAAAGGATCTACTGGCATCACTGCAAAAAGTTAAGACATGTTGTAATTTGGGCAGAAGAACTCGTTCCCAACGGTTTACAGGAAGTTTGATGGTGTGAAATGAAATCTGTGGGAGCACCCTCCAGCAGAAGAGAAAACAAGAAAAGCGCGGCATACTGTTTCATGTTGCATGTTACAACTTTTCCAACCTGTGACGCCATGTCACTGGAAAGGGCGGGGAAATTTGAATGTTCCTATTTGGATCATTCCATGTCAAACGTCCCAGACGTTGCGCTCGACCACCTTCGATTTCTAAGAAAAATATTCATGGCCTTTTGCCGCACTGTCTGTAGGCATGCCCTAAAATAGTTTTGACGAAAAAAAAGTTTTGATGGCGTGAGCGCGGTTTTAACTTTTAAAAATGGCGTGAAACTAGGTATCACTCCATAATTTATGAAAAATCAGCTTTTTTATGAAACACCCAACAGTATTCTTTTCTTAAATCTGCACTGCTTTCGACTTGCAATGTGGTTGGGCTTGTCCAGTTTTGTTTAATTAAAATACTTTTTAAAAACAATTTTTTTTTCAAAAGTTCAACATATTTGGTATTTTATTAAAAAATATCTAATTGCTCCAGGGACTTAGTAGAACTTTTTACCTGCTGCCCCTGCAGGTATATAATCTATAAAAAAAAATGTTTAAACCGCTCAAATATCTCGGTAAAAAAAAATCCTGAAGTTGCCAAAAAGTGTGTTTGGATGCATAAACAGCCGTTTATTTCACCATGAGGTGGTCCAAGTAAAAATACAAAATATAGTGGGTTTGGAAGAACAATTGATTGTCTTTTTATTCTGAAAGTTCAATCAAAGTAATTTTTGTTTAAAGTGAAAAAACAATTTTTGAAGTTGAACTCTCGCACCACAACCCAGCGTCTCTTCTTAATGCCTCTTCACCGCACAGCACGCCACCGGCGACGATAGCTGACACGATTAGGTCCAAAGAAAGACAGAGTTTACTGCCGCTTCCCCTTGTCCGTCTTTTCTGCTGCAAGGGAAGAAACGGGGGGCATCGTATTGTGTTGCTAATCGGAGGTGCCCGTTGTGCCTTTTGTATCCGAGAGCGGCTCCTCAAACTCCGAAACGCGATGCCTAATCGACAGGCGGCATCAGCTGACATGGACTTCTCAATGCGTCAGGCGTGGACTTCTCCATAAATATAGCTTGCTTCTCCATCAGAAGTAAGATATATTTATGGAAAGGTGGAATATTTTTGCCTATAAACCACACGGTATATGGATTACTATGTAATAATTTAAAAAAAAAAAGGAATATGTATGAATTTTAGCATTTTTATAGTTTTGTTACAAACTGTCTCGTTGCTGGCCACACTGTCCACAAAGTCGAACCGGTCGAATCTGGTAAAAAGTTCGAAGGTTCGTCGAACCGGTTCGATTCAGTTGAACCCCGAAAGTTCGACCTAAAAATCTGGTTCGACAAAAGTTCGCGACACCCCTACTAAATATGCAGAAAAATAACTAAATTTGTGCAAAACTGCGTTTCGCCGTTTCAAGAGCCGTCAATTCTGCCTTGAGGTGGCCCAAAGAAAAATATGAAACGTGGTGACTTTCACAGAAGCGTTTATTGCCTGTTGTTCGTGAACGTTTCAATAAAATAATTTTGTTCTTAAAGGGGCCCTGCAATCGTATTTAAAGGGATGGTGAACCGAAATTTGGATTTCAGAAAAAAACAATGCAGGAAATGTAGGCGGGACGCTACAATCCCTACAACACTACTCGTAAGGCGATATCTCGAATGGATGGTCGTATTTTTGGAAAACGAGGTCGAGATTGAACGAGGCCGACGAGGCGCGTGACATCATTATACCGAGTTTCCTCCTCTCTTCGCTTCGCTCCCTCAAGGCTGTGAGGCGGAGAAGACGCGAGGCCGGTCCTTCTCCTTCTCGGAGAAACATGACGATATCATCTCTGTCAAATGCGCCTCCTTTTCTTGAAAAATTTGGTCATCCGTTCGAGATATCGCTGTATGAGTGGTGTTTTGGTGTTTGTAGCATCCCATTGCACACTTTTACCGCGTGTTTTGTGGAATAAAAATTTCGGTTCAGCATCCCTTTAAGCGTGTACCTTTTATGCGGTTTCCACGTCTCTTGGGGTTCGGGCAAGCCAGCGGGCACGGAAAGAGTAGCTAAATATCAGTGCGCCATATTTTAACCGGACGACACGGAAACCTCCTCCACCGACGAGGGCGACCCGCGGTACCGAAAGCGCGCAAAATGTGACGTCTTTGGTCCTGGGCTTACTACTGGTCAGAGCCACTAAAAACTTCTTTTTGGTCGAAATACAAAATATAAGTGGCGCGAACCGTTACAATTATTTATAAAAGTAGTTTTTGTTCACTATTATAGAGGAAAAAAAAAAAGTGAAAGCCGTTTACCACTCCCTGTAACGCCGAATTGGAGCGCAGCTCTTGAGGAGGAGGGGAGGGTACTGAGGGTCATGTGTTCTCGGGGGGGGGGGGGGGGGGGGGGGTCACGTGACCCCCCCCCCCCCCCCCCCCCCGAGGGCACGTGGGGGCAAACACGTGCCCCCCTCAGAGGTCACGTGACCTGGGGGTGTCACGTGACTCCCCGGGTCACGTGACCAAAATCTTTCCGCTAGATTTAGCGGGGAAAGTTATTCCGCTAGATTTAGCGGGAAAATTTTTTCCGCTAGATTTAGCGGGGAAATTTTTCCGCTAAATTTAGCGGGGAAATTTTTTCCGCTAGATTTAGCGGGGAAATTTTTTCCGCTAGATTTAGCGGGGTAATTTCCGCTAGATTTAGCGGGAAAATTTATCCGCTAGATTTAGCGGAGAAATTTTTTCCGCTAGATTTAGCGGGGAAATTTTTTCCGCTAGATTTAGCGGGGAAATTTTTCCGCTAGATTTAGCGGGGAAATTTTTTCTGCTAGATTTAGTGGGGAAATTTTTCCGCTAAATAGCGGGGAAATTTTTTCCGCTAGATGTAGCGGGGAAATTTTTTCCGCTAGATTTAGCGGGGAAATTTTTCCCCTAGATTTAGTGGGAAAATTTATCCGCTAGATTTAGCGGGGAAATTTTTCCGCTAGATTTAGCGGGGAAATTTTTCCGCTACATTTAGCGGGGTAATTTTTTTCGCTAGATTTAGGGGGGAAATTTTTCCGCTAGATTTAGCGGGGAAATTTTTCCGCTAGATTTAGCGGGAAAATATTTTCCGCTAGATTTAGCGGGAAAATTTTTCCGCTAGGTTTAGCGGGGAAATTTACCCATAATGCACCGCGCGGTTACGCCGACGGCGACGCCGCTCAAGCCGGAAACAGGCGCCTAAGAGCTGCGCTCTAAAAAGAAAGAAATGCAGTTTATAAAGTACGGAAACAAGAAATGACCCGTCAACATACCCGCCGCCAAGCGGTGGAAAAGGCGGCGCATACTAGAAAGGAGTAGTGGGATAAGGCGCCGACACGGAAAAATCCCGGATGTACGCGGTGGCGCTGCAGTCGTATGGACAGGAGGATCCGACCGGCTCCGAGCGTTCCGAAGGCCTTCGGCGAGAGGCTTTGTCTTGCGGTTTGGCCGTTCCGCGGTATGGCAGCGCGAAGTGGTTCCCATTCTGAACTGATCTTTACCCCGTGTTTGCTGTCGTTTGTGGCCATTGAAGTGTTATGCCGAATTAGTGTTTTATCGCGCAGCAAACGCAATGAAAGCCGCTTTGGCTGCCCGCTGCATACAGCCTATCCAGAACATGCTTTAGTGGCGCCCTCTGGCGCCGTCGACACGGAGTGCGGCGTGAGCACTCGATGAGCTCACTATTCCTCCTCTAGTTCACGGCCACTCAAGCCAGGACCTACGCCGTCATGAAGGAGGTTATTTTTTCTTGTTTTTGTAATTCTAAATTGCCTATAACTTTTAAAATAAAGCGAATTTCGCGAAAAGAAAAGTTTCACTAAGTTACTACGTTCAGTGCGCTCAGGTTCGGTGCAAATTAAAAAACAGTAAAAAGTCCTTGCAGGGCCCCTTTAAGTGGAAAAGCAAACCTGGTGTCGTTTCTTGCGCCTCTTCTCTGCACAGCAAGCCATCGTCGAGCCTGGCAAAGCGTGCGACAGTGTCACGGTTTGCGCACGCAGGTAGACAGCA